TCTCCAAACTCAGCTTTTCTGTGATACTGTGATTTTTGAAGCAGTGCCCTCCAGTTACAAAGAAAATATCTGGAGCCCACTGAGTGCAACAGGAAAGAAATTCTAAGAGACAATATCTACAGTCACAATATGGAAATAACCCAATCTGCTGTCCTCTTAAGTACAAACTAATTCTGAGAGTGTAATCTCTTTGCTCCACATCTTTCTGTGCTCTGTTTTTTTTTTCTGTCACCAGAGCAGCTCACCAAAATTTACAATGAACAAGAATTAAGGTTATGGGCCTGATCAAATATGGACTTCCTGCTTACTGCAGTGCACGTGAAACACAAAAACTATTTTGACTTAAAGCATCTAAGGAGTTCCCATCAATTTTGCCCAAAGCCTTTTTGTACGTTGATTTTAAAAACAAAACTCACCATTAGTAGAAAAGTCTTTCTCCCACTTCCCTGCTGTAGGGAGGCAGTCCTCCAGAGAAGGATGAAAATGGAGAAACAGCACGTCTCACACTCTACAGACTTCCTAAGACCCAACTTCTGTGCTCTCCCTGAACAGGCCAACTCAGAGAAATACTGAGGAGAGATTAACAAAGCTACCCCAGTCAGTGCTTTTCACAACATATGCTGTTGTAGGATCCATCAATAGCTGTACAAGGCCTCTGTTATAGGCCACTATTCTATTTGCCTTATGTTGTGAGTGGAAATGTAATCCCACATTACTTTCACAAACTTCTGTGAAGAGCTCTGTTCCTACAGACTTTTGAGTAAATAACTGTATATTCCATTCTAAAACAAATTACAAGTTACACTAACTTGTTTGCCTTAACTATAGATAAAAAAAATTCCCCATATCTATTGTTGCTCAGGTTATATTTACTGTATGCTGACACATGACTGATACTGCTTTATAAACAGATCCATTTTTGTGCATTTCATCTAAGATGTAAATGAAACCATTGACAATACCAACCTATTGGAAAGTTTCCAAATGGGCCTGATTTTCGTACACTGCAATAACTGCTTATTGCAGAGGGAAGAAGGTTAAGAAATGTTTTCAAAAAGTAAAAAGATTTTCTGATGTTCTCTTCTTAAGTTTGCCGTGTTTAATTACTGTTCATGTACTGTGTGTTTGGAATCAGAGGCTGATTGGTGTCTCCTCCTTTCCTTTCTTTGGGAAAATTGCCCTATATATGGTGGAACACTTTCTGGTTTTCATTATCCTTGAATTCAAAGGCTATCAGCTATTGTAGCTATTTATACTTACGGTTGGGTAATCAGAATTATCACTGGTTGGTAACAGTTCTTCAAGCAAAAGAAACTTCACTTGATTGATTTTTTTTTTGTTGTAGAGTAGGATCACATTTTTCCAACGGTTTTTCAAGGACGGTTCAGTTCTTGCAGCTTTAATATGTAAGGAAATATTTTTGCATCCAACAAGAATGACAGTTTGTCTAAATAGAAAATAGATTATTTTTCCAAATCCACAAAAATGTTAAACAAATCATTGCTAGATCATGTGCAAGACCTGTCTTGCACAATTGCAGCTACTGATGTTTGACTACTGAAGTAAGATATATTTTAATACAGAGAATGGGTGCAGACAGAGGTCACAGGTTTATATCCCTATTTCTCACAGGTCAGGGAAAACAGTTGCTTTGAAAATCTAAAATGTGTTAAGAATTCATGAACAAAGGTCATGAGGAGGATAATTTCAGTTTGAGACTGGTCTTGTTTAATCTATCAGTTTGTTTTCTTACTCTTAAAATAATCTCAGTTTAACATAAAAAAAAAACCAAACCAAAAACCAAACCAACAACCCAACCCAGGAATAAATCACAAAAAATTGTTTACCAGTGAAATCTACAGAAAAGTTACCTGAGCAAACCACACTGTTAAGAAAAACATAGCTATGTTTTGTCAACAGCTTCACAAAACTTGGTGGAAATTTATGTTATATCTACTCTTATAATCATGATATGAGATAAGCAGTGACTTACTCTACAGAAAGATTCATTGACTTCACAGAGATGTTACCTGGTTCATGATGTATTTACTCTTGTAACTTCCATCCCTAGGTTAAGGTTATAAATGGTTAAATGCAACATTTAAAACAGATTAAGTTTTTTTGACCCAAAAATGTTTCCATCTTGATAAACATATTGGGACACCTGGAGAATACCAGCTATTGTATACCACATCAGAAGATAATCAGAAGTAAAGCTATAAGTTCTAATAATAAATGGGAAAAGATATAAAATAAAACTGATCATTTGACACTGCCATTTCATCTTATGCAGGACCACTGTTGAGACCAAGTTACGCCACAGAAAAAAATTATCTATTCCACGAAAATTAATATTAACTGAGTAACATTTTAAAGCACGGTAGTACCCAACATTAACATGGCTCCTTTGTACCTTAGTCTAAAGAGTACCTAGACACAAGATTTCTTCAAGCTATTCATTGCTAAAATCTAGCCAAAACAGTACTATGTTACATTTTCCACTTGCCCTGCACAGTGTAGCACTTAGACTTAAGATTTAAGAGCATACTGGAAATACAGACTACTTAATGTAAGAACAAAACTTGCTGGTATGATCGCATGTTTATGTTGCGTAAGATAATACAATCCATCTGTTGGGAAAATCCTTGCTGAATATTGTATCTGCTTTAGCAATAAACATGAACAGAAATCAAGATTATTTTTTAAAATCCAAAACTGAGTAACAGTGAGCCTTACAAAGAAATATGTCTAGGAACCTGAGGCAAATTATACATGTTAATGTTGGAGTCACTGAGAACAGTTAACACAATGTAACCAAATGTCAACTGGAATATTTTGCAGTAACTGACTGAATATATGAAGAGGTCTGTGTTTAATGAATATATGTATGCTTGGTTTCTAAGTTTTCAGCTTCAGATGGCGAAGATTAAGTGCTAAGGGTGTTACTGTAAATGTTTAAGTGAGATGAACATCACTGATTTTCTAATTTTACCACATGGTTTATTTCAGAAGAAAACAAGCACCAGTTAACATAGTTCTCCTGCAAGTCAGTAAACAGTAACACACGAAAACTCAATACAATTTGCTTCTTTGTTTATGTGCAGGATATTTAGTTTGGTTTGCAAAGTATTAGAAGAATAATAAGAACCTCCTGATAGAATACCACAACTAAATTTCTCAAAAGCCACTCAGTTAATCTCAGTGTTGAATCTGGCTGTTTCAAATTATTGTAATGTATAATAACAGTCTTATTGACAATATAGACGCACAGAGCCAAAAAAAGCTAGAAATAGTGGCCAAAACGATGAACTAAGCGCCAGCCCAAATGACAACAAACATATGGCCATTAACTGAAGAATGGAGGGGTTTAGGAATGCAGCTGTCTGTGGTCTCCTAAGAGTTCCAGAGGAATGAAATGCTGTGAGGATTGGCAAAGCCTGGATGAGAAGTACTACTGAAGATGGTAGGTCCTAAAATGGAGTCAACCAGCGGATCATGTTGGAATTCAGAGATTTCTGTGGTCAGAATATATTCATTCCATTGGCCTCATAATGTACATCAACAAATTAATATTGTATGGATGTCATTTCAAAGCCTACTGAAGACGAAGAGCCATTACTGAAGCCATTAGAGCACAGATGGTTCAAACTATATGCAGATATTCATACTTGCATTTCTGCATTATAGCAGGGGTTTTTTTCTGTTGAACTGTAATGAATTGTCTCATAATCTATTCCATCTTCTTGCCATTAGCAGGCTTTGAATGTTCACAAATAGGAGCAAAGAACTCATTTTCCAGAGCTTTAATCACACAAAGAGGGAATGCCTAATTCTCTAAATGAAATGGTCTGTGATCACTGAAGCAGAGATTTAATATATCACGGCAAATTAGGTAGATTTTAATAAATTACTTATCTCTCTGAATACTTTACATATGCTTATGAAGAAACATAGCCTGTTTGCAAACAGTGGAAATCCACAGTCTATAAAATCCTTTGAAGAAAATGACAAATAAAAAAGTAAATTAAAAAATGAAATGTATTATATCCTCGTTCTCGAGAGACAATCCTTTTTGCAGCATTGATTCACAGCTCCATTAAAAATATCAATTAAATCCTTCACTGAGATTGGTTAAAAGCTGTAAAATTAACTTTCCATGCTAGACACTGGTTATTCAGATACAACGATTTATTGTATATGTTTGATGTAAGTTCTAAAAGTGACAAAACCCAAATGAAAACACAGTTGCCCATCCCTACAATCCAAAGTAGGTGAAGCAAAATCTCACACTTTGGCTTCTTTTTGTGCTTTGACAGATGTTGGCTGAAAGTAAATCTTCTACTGTACAGAAAATGATTGTGCCTGCCCTCCCCCTACTTCAAATTATGGTAACCATAAACAGCTGATTATAATGTTAGTAGAAGGGTAAAAGTTATTTAAAAAAGGTTGCAGTAATTTAATAAGTCCTGCAACTAGCCTAATTTTTTATATTTAATTGATAGGAACTGCATGCATCAAAGAAAACACATACTGAGATTTAATGTGCATAAAATGGATATTAGCATTTTAAAGAGGCAGATTAACACATTAATCCAAGTAATTTTCATATATTGCTTTTAATAAAATCTTCACAGTATAAAATTCTTAATGAGGCTAATCACAGGCATTCCATTTAGCGGGGTGATTAGGGATAACATAAAAGTATTTTTAATCAGTTTTCTAAGGCTTATGGTTTTTTTATTAAAAATTAAAATTTTGACTTGCATTTTTATTACTGTTTTATGTAGGAAAAAATCTTGAAAATGCAAATAAAGCACATCATTCAATCATGTAGGTATTAATTATTTACAAGACGTTGTCCATTGTGGAGAGATTCTTAGCCTTAGGGGGGAAATATAAAAACAAACAGACTGAAAAGTATACAAAACTTTACAACTACAAATCAAGCGTCCCTTCCATATGAATTATACATTAAATACACTGTAAGAATTACAAAGATCTCATCTTTGATGCGCTATCAAGCATGTATTTACACTGGGAGAAGGAACTTCTGCAGGCAAACTTCCTTTCATGCCTCGGAGTCGTCTTCGCGCTCCTCGCAGACCGAACGCGGCGCGTGGAGGGGCCTCCACGGCTACTTTGAGCTCCCCAATCACTGCACCATCATCTCGTGAATCAAAAACTAGAAAGGGAGCCTCACAAAACAGCATTAGCAATTTTATTTAAGGGTCTGCTTTTGTTCTGGTAATTTTCCGTAGCGTTTGGACAGATTAAAAGGCACCCGGCACGCGCAGAGGAGAAATAAATAAAGAATAAAGGAATCTTCCAGCTCAGGTATTTAGCCTACTGCAAACTGAGCACTCTAAGAACTAGAATGCACATCAATTAAAGTGTTAGTGCTCGAATTACCTTTGAAATAAAGAAAACTATTGGTATAATCATCGCCTATATAAATTAATAATTTTTCTCAATATGTAAACATGAGATGTGGCAATATGTAAATTCAAACTCTATTGAAAACATATATGCATATTTATAAATAGTTTTAAGCAAAACCATACCTATTAATGCATTTTCTACACTGTGTAGGACAGGTCCAAATCAGCCTGGACACTTACTAGTATTTAAACAGTAATTGTTTTTTCCAGCTGGTGCAATGCAAAATTATTTAAATTGCAAGCTTCTATGTGTTGCAAAATAGTGAGGTATAAACAAAGAAGATAATTCCTCTAGACTAAACTATTTGACTACCTTCATCTTTGTGTATGTGGGTTTTAAAGTAGTATTTTAAATTTCTATTTTACAGAAATTAGCTGACATGATTTGAAACTGCACTCTTTTACAATATCTAAGTAAGCCCAGAGGGCCAGAATCTCTGCTGCTGTGATTAAAACATGCTGCTAAGTCAAAAATGAGGTTTTTTCCCAGTCCTGCATAAAAAGCAATGAGGCTGCCTAACATGACTCTAGAAGGAATTTGAATAAAAACAAATAATCCTGACAGCATATTTTTTCAAAGCAAATTATACAGCTGACAAATGGCAAGGTTATGTATTTAGTATATAAACTGGGTTAAGTACTCTGGGACATGCAATGATACTGCATGTTACAACTTCTAGGCTGCTGGGACAGCCCAGAAGAGGTTTAGAGAAGAAAAATCATGGGATAAACCTTCCATTATTTACTCTGTTGAAAGAGCTATTATAGGACAGATTGGATGCTAATCTTAGAGATCCAAACCATTTTGTACAACCTTGAACAGATCACTCAGTGAACTGTCAACTTCAAGAGCAGACTTTAGGGGACAGTATTGTTTTTACTTATAAGAACAGGATAACTGTAATTGCTGATATCAGAACATTAATTCTATTTTCTCAGTTTTCATATTGTCATACTATCTCTGAGGCACACTGGTAGATATGTTGACTATAGTGTTTTTCACTCATTCTCTTGCTAAGTCATTCACTTAATTGCTTCAAATTTCATGGAGGCCACTTTCACACAGTCAGCAATGAAAGGAACAATATATGAAAAAGACTGTGCTTGGAGTCTCAGAAAGAAGGAAGGACATTTATGTACTTCATGTGGTAGTGTCCTACCAATTTCCCTGTGCCTAGGGAAAGTCTTTTTTCCTCAAACCAATATTCACCTGAGAGGATGTGTACACTATAACTTAGGAATTCTATTTATTGTGCCATTACATTTAAATGAAGTCTGCATCCAGATCTTAAGAACAGATCCTTTTACAACGAGTTGGTCCAAGAAAATATACGGACTTGTTCTTTTGTCATGATCTGACATACGTTAATGTAAAATTCATTTCAGTTCTCTGAAAGTTCTAAATTTTCAGAAAATATACAATGTTATATGTCCTGGATGCAATAGAACCTTCCCTGGTACCTGCAGGGAAGGGCAGAAGTGTGCATAGGAAAAAGAATAAAAGTATTTCTAGCTATTATTATTACTTTCATGGATATAATTCACACAAAGTAAAAATTAGTTCAAATGTCTTATGATCAGGGGAAGAAATGTTCCTCACAATATTGAAGTAGTTGTCATCACATACTAATGATTAGCTTTTAACAGAACAATAACTAGTAACAAAAACCAGTCCTTCCTGTGATAATAATTCTCTCAGATGATGATTAGGACTTTTAAGAGTTTTGTGAAAGGTGAATTTCAAGGGTAAAAAATTGTATTTATATCACTAATCAATCTTATCAAACAGGAATTATGACAGTGGGAATTATGGCCATAAAGTACAGAACAAAAGCAATCTTGCAGTGAGAGACTACAAAATACCTTTGGAGGAAATGTGCTTCTGTACAACTACCTGGAGAAAAAGTATTGGTGGAGAAAAGCTCAAGTGGTTCAGCCACAGTAAGAAGTGCATCAAATCTGTATGCTATTTTTCCAGGGTATGGAGATTCGATTCTTTGCATTTTCCTTATCGTGTTCCTGGAACTTTGATGCATACTTATAGTATTTTAGCTACAGCATGGATGCAAATTATGCATGATAATGGGAATGGATAAGAAAGCCTATTTCTTTCCCTCACTACTCAGCTCCCCGTTGCTCAAGGTATGGGAATTAGACACAGCAGTAGAAGTAGCAAAGTGACATTAGCCTGGCATTCCACTGGGGCTGACTGGAATTCTGGCTATTGCAAAGGGTACCTTGTGTGCTCTGCATCCATTCATCAGGCTGGTTCCTGCACTGGCAGAGGAGAGGGACTGTTTGTAAGAGATTTACTCTCTTCACTGGGCTTTCCCACAGTGGAAAGAGGGTTGAGACAAAGAGGTAGGAGAAAAACACACGCTGGTAACCACGTCCCTGCAAACACAGGGAACCAGAAACCCTAAGCAAGGACAATATTTTCCTTCACTGTCTATGAAAGGACCAAGTAGCCTTTATAACACTTCTTACCAGTGTTATAAAAATGATCCTATGGCCCAGGAAATAGAAGATTCCACACCTCCTGCTCTCCTCACCTTGCTTTAATGAGTCACACTGAAGGTTTGGTCACAGTCCCTTTCAGAAAGGTGTTCACTCTAAACTGACACCTTATCAAAACCACCACTATTTCATACTGTCTGGGAAACAGGTTTCATATGGAGGACACAAGCTGGAGGTACTCTGGGAGTTATAGCTCTAAATAAGATACAGACTTTAACAATACAGAATTACTGACATAAATTTTAATAAGAATATATATAGTCCTATTACAATGAAGCATGATGTACAAAATAGAGAATTATAGCAAGTGGACATGTCTGGAAAGTTCTTAGGTCTTATGAATGAAGTACTATGAGCTGGGAATGCTCTTTGGTTTTGGTTTTTAAACATATTTTAAGGAATAACAGTAGCACACAGTTTTTGTAGACTTTTGCAAAAAAATGTGGAAGCCATTAATTAATATTAAAGAATTTCTTATTGACAAAATGTCAAACAATTACTTTCATAGTAACCCTTGCAGAGAAAAGTAGAAATTCAACAAATAATTTTTAAGCTACAGAAGTTTACAATAAACTGATCTGTAAAACTTACCATCAATGTCTTGTTCAATGATATTTCTTTGCTTCTGGAACACCTCTTTCAAACTGACCAGAGCAAACCCAATATATTCACATTCAAGATCCTGTTCATCTTCTGGGGGATCACTGACCACAGAAATTTTAGGATAAATAAAAAACCCAAAAAAACAAAAACAAAAAAAAAAAAAAAAGAAAAAAGATATTTTACCTTCAAAAAGGGTTGAAAAGCAACTCTAAAACCAGAAAAAAAGGCAAACCCACATTCTATTTTACAAGTGGAACACAAATAAGAACTCTTTATCAAGTAAATTCAACATTTTCCATGACAAGAATTGTCTAAGACACCCTTTTTTAAATCTTCCCCTTTTCTTTAGCATTACTTAGCTGTACTAGAAGGACAGAGAGGTTTAACCATAGATTTGTAGCCATATAGAAATGTGCCATTTTTCTTTCCCCCTCCCCACCACTCTGTGGTACAATTCTTGTTCACATGGCCATACAAGAAACTATATAAGATATATGCTTTTCTTTTGTGAACTTAAATTACACCCATTGCATCCAAGTACGGCTTTCCTTCTAAACACATAATTCCAGGATTGGGTTGGAGCTGACTTGAGTTAGTGGCTTGTGTTGGGGCCAAAAACACCGAGACTGACAAAATGACAGGAATTTAGAGCTAACATTTGGTATGTCTTGGCAATGTTGTTCAAACTGTAAGTGTTTGTGAACTTTACAGCCTAAAAATGTTACAATAAGCATAATTTCAAATGGGTAACAACCAAGTTGCGTAAAATCTAAGTCTGAAGGAAAGGATATGTCAGACAAAATACAATCAAATCTTCCTAAAAAGACTTCAAACACAACAACTACTACAATATGTTCTTATAGCAGTTTATTTTTGTGCTCCTCTCTTACTAAAAAATATTTATCATAGAAAATACACATGTAAATATTTGTCACTAAACCCAGTCACCTACCAAAAATACGAAAATATTTTAAAAAATTTCCTGGAGGCAAAAAAAGGAAAACTATCACAGCTACTTCCACCAGCAGGTGGCTTGACTGAATATAATTCATTTAACTTGAGATTTTGGCACAAAGCTAAGCAGCAGTAAAACAGCCCAAACCCAATTAAAAATAGGAAATACTTAGATCTGCAAGATAAATATTAAATTGAATAAAAACAAGTTAAAAATTGTAAGAATAATTTGATAAAACTGTTGGATTTTGGGAACAGATCTGTTTTGTTATGATGATTCAGTGTCAACATTAAATCTCTTGGGGAAACCAGCATAGCAGTTAAGACAGTGACAGAAGAAGAGATTCATGCTGAATTAACTTTTATCACCTAAGGGTACCAACTATTACCAAAATTTTCACTAAAACATAAATTAAAAGCAGGTCAAGTAAAATTTGAGACAGCATCTTATAGCCAAAGGGGAGTGTCATTCCTACAGACCCAACCTGTGGTTCAGATCAAACAAAGGTATTTTACATGAATAGGTCAAGCTTCAACAAAACAGATGAAAATAACAGCCCCTCTAACACCATATAGTTCCAATATGCTTAAAAGATGATAATATTGGATTGAATCTTTGCTGCTAAACAGGAAGGAGGAGTTATGCACTCTGGATCCCGTGGGAATACTCCAACTAGACTCCAAGAATGGTACCACAATCACTTTGAGTTTTGTACTTTTAAAAGTATCACAAATGCTTTGAGAGAATATTTAAATATATTTGGTATGCTTTAACTTGTCTTCATTTACCAAAAACTGCAAGAGTTCTGATTTCAGGCCGAACTGCTTAAAAAGACACAGTTTAAACTGCCTGAGAACCTATGGCACATGAACAGACCTCTCACCCAGCTGCAGCAGCCAGTGTCCCACCTCACCTTAACACTGCCTCACTTCTGAAAGAAATTTTGATGGGAGTTGGTATATCAAATTTATACAAGGATTTCTTACATGGATAAAGCTATGGAGGGCGTTCCTCTCCCACACTTCTCTCTGGGATCCTAGACTTTTCCTCATTTCCACATTTCATTTCTGTAACACCAGTTACTCACTTCCTTGCAGGAATCCCAGACTTACTGACAGAATAAGAAGAAATTTTGACATCCTGGTAAAAGCACCGTGTGGGAAGATATTTGCTAGCCACTGCAAGAAAGACTAGAGAACTAAATAAAACTTGTCTGGCAAAACAAAAGTGAAAAAATAATAAGTGCCTTAAACTTAAAATGTGTTTTACAGTGAAGCAGAAAAGCCTGGACAATTATTTATTATGGTTGTTAGGATAACACTTAAAGGCATTCTCACCAGCAGGTAATTTAGAGTGACTGGACAAAACTTCTTATGTAGGCAAATCTGATTCTAATTTTTTTTATTCCACAGATCATCCATTTTTGAGCAGGAAGGAGAAAACTTTGTGTGTTAATGTTGCATATTAACGTGAAGCTAACAACTGTACACATGGTCTGCTCCCCTGTAACACGGATGCATAGATTTTCTTTGGAGAACAATGACTTCATATAGTCTGTTTCTTGGAATAACAATCATTTCCCACCAAGAAATGATGCACCTGTCAGGATCAGCCTGGAAACCTCTTGCATAAACCTGTTCACTCTTGTTATCACAGCAGGGTGACTGTTAGACACACGGATTCCTCCACTCCTCACATATGTCTCTCCTGACACTTGTCAGAAGAGCACACACTCCACCTCCAGGTCTGCAAGCATTTCAAGTACAGTCTGGCATGAGAAATCAGGCAACTTCCTCTACATGACCAAAATTTCTACACTCTTAAAATGCTGAAAGACAACAGTGGAAGAATAAAAAATAACTATGACACAGTTACAGAAAGTTAAATGGACTGCAAGAAATGTGTCCTTTTAACTGATTTAAAGACTTGAACACATAATGACAGGGTTCAGATGCTGAAATAATAATTTTGTGTCTTCTTTTTCACAAAGTTTTTACAAATATTAGCAAGTATAGCTTCCCAAAATAGATAAAGAACTTGAATCTCTATTATACAGAAAAAGAAACAAACCAAAAAGGCTTCCCTTGTCATACATTAAAGCTATAAGAAAAAGCCAGTGCTATGACAAAATCTCCCTAATAATGATAGAGACAACGACTGATGAAAGCATAAAGATGCTTGTCAAAAGAACTATGCTCATATATTTTACATAATTCCATTTAACAGCATTTTTTCTTGATTTTTTACACTGAATATTCTTGCATTTTCTGCCACTCTTTGTTCAAATATGGAACCAAAGTCAACATTTCAAATAAACACTTAAAATGATTCCATATCAAGAACTGAAAGAAGAGAAAAATCAACTTTGTTTTGAAATCTTATCTTTAAATGAACAGTAAACTCCACTTCAAACAAATTTCAGACCGGATATTAGAAAAAAAATTAGTTACTGAAAGAGTTGTCAAGCTCTGGAATTGGCTGCTCAGGGAGCTGGTGGAGCCACCAACCCTGGAGGTATTTCAAGTGCTCTGGAGGCACTTGGGGACGTGGATTAGTGGTGGAAGTGGCAGTGCTGGGGTATCGGTTGGACTTGGTGACTCTAAAGTTCTCCAACCTAAATGGTTTTAGGATTCTATAAAATAAATATACTTTCCTGTATAAATGCCATGTCAATCTATATTTATTTACTTGCAAGTATAAACTAAAAGAGTATAAAGCTGTGAAATGCACTGTTTTCAGGATCAAATTGGCTCTGTTTCAACTATAGAACTAGGCTATAGTTGCAACTTTGGCTTAGCAGTAATTTTGCCTCAGCAGTAATTTTGTTTATTATATTTTAATGTATCTTTTAACACTTGAGAATATTTATCTTTTTCAAGAGAGATTCATTAAAGTGACTCTGCTTTTGGAAGACAAAACCAGCATGTGATGAATCTATTTATTTATTTTCCAATACGGATCCAATCATTATGAGTATTGTTTCTAACAACATTCTTTGTGACAGGAAAAAAAATAAATTAATACACTACTTAATATACATAATACACTGTCTATGCTCTATAATCTGGCATAGCACAAACACTAATAAAGTGTCAGGCTCAACCATCTGCAGGCAATTTTCAATGATATTTATATCCCTGATAATTTGGTTTCCTGAGCTTTAAAGCATTAGTTTAGTTGAGTTCCTGTTTCAGCTGAAAAAGCTCTGATACTAGTTTGTAAAGCTTGTGATAGAAAACACATGTTGATACAACTAGGCCAGGTTTAAAATACATAGAGTTGGAAACTTTTGGAGTATGGGCAGAATCTTTTCATAAATTTTGTTTCTTGGTGGTCCTTGCTAGGATAAAGTGGGGAACTGGACTACTGATGACATTCCTGCCTTCCTGTTTAGTCATGACAAAATTGAAATTTCACCACAGGCCAAGCCAGACACACCAATAACTGAAGAAAACAATTTACCTGGTAACACAGAGGACAGGACCATGATGGCACAGGTAGAAGGTGAATGTGTCTGGTCAGTGAAAAAGTTTACTGCTGTTATTTTACCTTCTTTTTACCTCAGGTTTGTAAGATATTTAATACAGATATCTAAGTATTTATAGGAGAAATTGCAGCACACAGACTAGCTATTTGCTGAATTATCCCTCATGAACCACAAAAAAAAAAGAAAAAAGAAAAAAGAAAAAAAGAGTATTTTATTCTCAATACTCTCTAATCTCAGCAGAACGTGTTTCAGTAGAATGTTACCCACTTTCCTAATCTACATGGTAAAGTAAGTCTTCTCCTTGCTTATTAAATGATTTTAATTTTTTTTTTTTTAAATCTCCAAACCTAAGAATGTTTTGGTATGATATTTCCATCCCAAAAAGTAATCATTTCATGGTGTTCCCTGCTCCATTCCAGTAAAACCTGTTTTCTGGCCAAAACATGAATCTCAGATATAGAACGGAAATGAAATGAAGAGAGATCACTCTCTTTCTTACTGCAGAGTGAATCAGGGATTTGTGGATAAACAGATATTTTAAAAATTTACAAGTAACTCCAGCACTTCAAATACAGTCAGCAGGTATCCTACTCTCCTGCGAATTAAATCAATCTTTAATTTAATAATTATTCCATTCTAATGAAGACTGACCTTTAAGAGAAAACAGGATCAAAGAATGTCATTCATTCTGTCAAAGTAAAGCACAAATGCTATTGCAATAAAAAAAATTAGAATAAGAAAAAATTTTTTATTATAATGAAACTGGACAAGACTAATTTATACCTTCTCCCATATGTATTAATATAAAAACTACATCTGTATATATATATATATATATGTTTTTGGAAATTCTAGGGCCAAGGAACACTTTCTGCATCTCTTAGACTCCTTTTAGTACTCTGAATTCAGAAAGCAATGAATGTACTACACTATATGGCATAGAAATGTACTTTTCAAATTCATTAGTGATAGAATGCTGATGACAGAATCTCTCTTTTGCAAAATAAAATTGTTAAAAGCAAAAGAAGCAAACAAACAAACTCCCAAACCAAAACCCAAACCACAGCACTAAACCAACATTAAGTGAGGCTGCAATCTTCCACACCACATGAGCCTACTCAGGGAAGAAATAAGATCAGAATGCAGGTATCATTCCTAGTGGAAACAAATTTTTTTCTACTTAGTTACTTAGGTAGGTATTAACTTCTCAGGGATGCCTCCTCGGCAGAGACAAACAACAAGGCAAACCACAATCATTATTTACAAAGACCTGTAATAGAGTTTTTCAGCACTAACATGTACCTGTCAGTGTGCAGCTCTGGCTTTAGAAGAACAGACTTGAGATACTCTTTTTCTGCACAATTATCTGCCTTAGCCACGTATATCGCTGCAACGCAAATCAGAATTAATATCAGTATCAATTGGTTTTCACCTTTTAGAAGAAAGAACATGGGGAAAAGAACAAAGGAAAAATAAACATTTCTTTCTTTTTTCTAAGGAGAAGCAGCAATGTTAGAATCAAATTTGAAAGGTCATGTGATGTAACGGTGTGTCACTGGCAGGTCTGTGTGCACACTGTCAAAAAAGATACAAGCAGCATCTAAGCATGCCACACAGCTGTCACTTTCTGTTCATGGCAATAGCAGTCATGATTTTAAAAGCCAGTGGTCTTTATTGCTTTGTATTTGAAGTGATTTACTGCATTTTCTTCCACTGAGGAAGCCAGTGATAATGATAATGTATGGCAGAGTGCTTGTCCTTTTTGACAGCCTCAGTAATTTAATCCCCCTTTCCTGCCACAGTATTTCAGTAAGAGAAACCTCTAGACCAATGGACTGGAGAAAATCCACGGCCTGGGGAGTGTGTGCAAGTGCTCTGAAAGCCTCTCACTGTTTTAATTTAAAATACAAACACAAGGATCAGCTTTTAATTTTTGGACTATTAATATGACCTACAGTGAAAGTTAGCCTTGGTTTGGAAAACATATTAAAAGAATGAGAAACATGGTTTTAAGAAATTCTTCAAGAAGTTTTGGGGCATCTTATATTAAGAAAGTAGCAGATTTCCTGTAAATGGTATCAGTCTGCAAGTATCAATACACTATTGTGAAAGAGTATAAAAATTGAAATAGTATTGAATTATTTTATTTTTTTTTAAAAGAAAGAAATGCAACTGAAAAAGTTTTGATAGGACAAAACTAAAATTAATATAACCCTCTAAGAATCATTTGTTGTCATTTGTTTTTGAGGGGAGGAGGTGGAGTTAGAAATTTGTCTGACATTACATTCCAGCATTTCTAATATTCACTGTCTTCTAGTTACTTTTCACTATACTCATAAGAGATCTTTTTAACTCTCCACATCACATTAAGGTTTCCTTTTGCTGTGCACTGACAGAAATCTTTAATGTATTTCACTGTCCAAAATAAACTTATTTGTATAAAAAGAAAGTACCAATTCTACCAAGGAGCCGAGTATTGGAATGCAGCAGCATGAGCAGAGATAAGAAGGCCTAAACTCCTTGCAGAGGGATTTACTGAAGGACACATCTCTATTGAAGTCCTAGGAAGCACACTTTTCAGAGCTATTGCTTTTCCAGTTTTCTCCAAAGCTGCTCCTCAGCTCTTCCTTGGCCAGCAGAACTGCTCCTAGGAATGGGTTACTATCAGAAAACAGCCAGTCCAGTTGCTGAGTCGTTCAGTCCAAGGAATCTACAATTTGCCACCATTTCTCTACTAACAGAAAGCAAAGCATTGGTGTTTTACCTTTGAATCCTTAGTTTCCACCTCATGATTTCTTACTTTCCTAGGTTAAAAGAAGCTGTTATTGTCATCTGCTATTCTTTTGGACATGTGGATGACTTTCCACATGTGCTGCTCTCATGGCCAAGTGCTCCTGGGGCCACCACAGGAAGTGATGGGGAGGCAGCAGGGAGACACATGGACAGCCAGAGAACTTCAAAGGAAATGCCACATCAACAGATTCTTCCCTTTCCCATAAGCATCCCAAATGGAATTTCCTCAATTTACTAATTCTGTATCTAAAACAATTTAAAATGAAAATTATTTACAAATCCAAAGAGTTCAAATTCATTTCACGCAACGGAAAAATTCAGACTGGAAAGTAAAACATTCGGCACAAGAACTCCATTCAAGTCTGGGGAAAATGATTAACTATAGTGAAAATACATTTTTAGATCCTGATGAATAACATGCTTTCATATCACCCCACAGTACTGCCTGAACTTAGAATCACAACATTGCTCCAAGGCATGGAACATCTCCTGTTTCTATCCAATTAATTGCAAAAATAATTCAAAATTAACTTGCAACAGTTTGCATCTAAGATTATAATTTTAAAGCTACTCCTAAAGAAGTACTAAAAGGTGAAGATTACAATGACCCTGGAAGCTTGTCAGAAATCTTTGCAATTCAAAACATTAACACAGCTGTTCTGTTATAGTGCATTTTTTCATAGTTCACATTCTAAAAAACAGATGAAGCAGAGTTTTATCACAGTGAAGAAAAATTGCTTCACAGTGTGGATCTGTAATGGAGAAAAGGAATAAACACACAGAAATGTAACAATGTCTTCTGATGCAAAGCCTTAACATTTGAGTTATACTGAGGAATCCACCTTTCAGAATGGGGATCTTCAGAAGTTTATTTTTAATAAAAAATACACTCCATCATCTTTCCCCCACCTCGTGTTCTTTTGGTCCACTTACCCTTGCACTTAGAGTTGTTCAAAGAGCCACCCATTTACTTAAGAGAGAAAAGTTTTCGAGAAAAGAAAGCTTTCCAATTAAATTTCAAATAAATTCTTTGCAGTATTTCATAAATCTTCTACTTCCATTGCCTGTTCTCTAGAACTACTGTATACAGTGATAAGAACACACTTCAGCCTTCTATCAGCCTTGCTTTCTAGTAATTTGCTTGCCATCTCAGCATTTTCACATTTAAGCCTCATTATTTAATAAAATAAGAATGTTTTTTATTAACAGCATTTATGAACTAACCATAGCTTCATCATTTAATTAATCTTGGCCCTGACAAGAATAATGTTTCTTTTACTGAAACTAACAGTCAAACATCAACAGATGCATTTATATGTGTGGGAAACTGGGCTTTGTTTGCTTGGACTCGCATGTTTCCTTATGTTTTTCTGACTGTGAAACTGCCATTACTTTAAAGAATATATGGTGACATGACTGGAAAAATTCTGGCACACAATTTTAAACTGAATTGAAAAGTTTAAATATCAGTTAATTGCTTACTGTGATCAGTAACTCCACCCAACATCAACACAATGCTGTATGTACCAAAACAAATCCCACCAAAAAATCAGAATCCTTTCTGTTCACCAAATATAAAGACAGTCATGGTATGAGCACAATTTGGCAAGTTCCACTTTTCTTTATGAGACTGTAGTGTTTGGAAGCTTTCTTGGATATTCTAATAACTCTTTCCACTGCTAACAAACACACAGCTCCTCAGTCAGTATGGTCAGCAGTAGATAAAACACCTAATGTCAAGGGGTATGCATTGCAATCCTACAGTGTATAAACTTCCTCAGTCAAGTTGCTGTTCCAAGACCTTGGAAGAAAAAACAAAGATCTTCTAAGCATTTGTAGTGAAAAAGTCACAGTAGAAAAACCCCAATTTATGTCACGTTACATGCTTGAACCAGCAGTGAAAATGGAAATTCGTGGGATCATGTATGTCCAGATCAATGGAGCTCCACTATATTGTTTTGCAACAAGATTTTGTTTATCTTCTGATATCTCACATGTCAGGTGATGACAGCAAAGGACGCACAAAAGGAATGGAAAACCTTCCAATATTTTTTAAGCAGTGAATCTCACAGAGCTCTCTGTATCAGTTAAGATGATTTTAAAACAGTCAAGCTGTTCCAGTTATAGATAATATAAAATGCCTTTTTATTATAAGAATTACTGATTTTTTTAGATTACTTATGGACTTACCCTGATTTTCTCCATGTAGAAACCTAAAAGACTATTAGGTTCCTTCTAGGCTCGAAGTAAATTTCTTTCCACCCATGTAAATCTCATTTTTATTAAAGAAAATATTCAATTAACCTCAAATATTCAGCATACTCAAATCTAATTAGACATGAATAAGAGATGCAGCAAAGCCATAGTAAACACACATGCAGATTTCATTACTATTATCTTACTGGCTTCTCAACCGGCTTTATCAAAAAGCAGACTCATTAAGTTTTTTCTCCCCTGTATGTAAAGCTAATCTTGAGTAGAAATTAGATGACCAATCACCTAAGCAAACCTCTGCAAATAACAACCATATTAGTATTATGCCGCAGAATACAATCCTGAAGCAATTAAGAGCAAAAAACACCTTTTGATACTGATTCGTTAGGATATTTGGAAGTTTAAACAGTTCTACAATTGATACTGAAGCAGCAAATAGAAAAATCAAAGTTATGAAGTCAGGTTATGACTAACAGAAATAACACAATATAGCACTACTGGATTGGAAAGCCTTATGAATCACAGTCTCTGCAATACAATAGCACAACATTATTTTCAAATATCACAGCTTGAAATGTATTGAAGTTTCGTAATTGTCTTAAAAGTCTGAAATTTTATTCTCTATTCATCATAACTTTGCTGTATTTTGATAGTTTAACTTTGCAGAGTAAATATGTAGAAAACTAATACTATGCTTGCACCATACCTAGAAATCAGAATATTGTGTAAGAATTTTATATCTTCTGAAGGCTTATTATAATCAAAGCAATGAGAATTCAAGATGCAAGAAAAATCAAAACTGTTAAAAAGCTTTTATTGGCTAATGTTATTATTTCAATGATGTTTTAATACAATTATTTCAGTTATGTCTGCCTGCCTAGAACTTTTAGAAGTGTTTACAGAAGCTAGCAAGATGAATATTGTTCAGCTCATAAAAAGTTATTATTTATGTAATCTGTTATTTAGTAACTGATGCCACAAATCCCATTTGTTGGAATGGGAGCAGCCTCAGCAAATGAAAGACATTGCAGCACTATTAGTTTTTGTGGTTTTGTTTTTCTTCTCTAAAGCCTTACAAAGATCACCATCCTCAGACTCATAAAAACTAACAATTGTGCCCTGTCCTCTACTGTCCCTCTCAAATGGGCAGTCCCATTACAGCAACAGTTGATGATCATTGTCTAGGAGGGATTTGAGTCTTCAACTACAGGATAATCCGATAGTTTAAGTATTAAGAGGATCTAAACAAGTGAATTCTTTGGCAAGTCACATTCTAAAATCAAGTTTGTAGATGGTACCAATTTAAAAGATCTGAGTATGACACCACTTTTGCAAAGCTGCTTTTACAAAATTATTTTTAAAAGAATGTTTAAATTGAAGGTCTGTGGAATGGTTTGTCACAAATAGCAAACTGATTCACCTGCTCCAGGATACTCTCAGATAAAAGTCCAAGACAACTTGAAGCACTTAGACTGAACCTTAAATGAAACAGACTTTAACAGAAAAAAAAGTTAGTCAATAATTGAAATACTATGAAAGAGCAGGGAAAATATTTAACAACAGAATTATCAATTACTAGAATAATTCTATGTATACTATAATATATAACTGTATATTGACATAAACTACCTTCAAATGTTCATTTGAGACTGGCATGTGCAACATGCAGGATTAAGTATAATGAAGTAAATAGCAATGTATTAGTATTAAATATGGATTAATAACTTCCCATTTTAAAAAGTTCTGATTAGAGGAACATTGAGTATTCGCAAGTGGTGATCGAGTCCAATTACAAATTTTCTCTTTCCAAATGTATTTTAGTTGTATATGGTTGATGTTTTTCTTTTGCTGTATCATCATGCACCAATAGAAAAAGTAGTTCATGATGCTCTTTTAAAAAGAATACATATATTTATGTATAGCCTAATTTTAAAATGTATGTGCTCCCAGCATATTTAAATTTATTGTAATGCCACCATTTCTTCCACAAGCCTACTTCAGTATTCTGTTTCATAGTTAACAACTGCATCCTTACTTCATTTCTTAAAAACTACCACTAATATTTCCCAAAATATTTGGAAAAAAGACAAATAGTACACAGATAAATGCAAATATAATGTACAGGAAATAGGCTTTATTGCAGGCATTTTCATAAGACAGAACTTAAGAGAAGAAACACGCCTGCTCAGGAGTACATCCCACTCACCAGTGCTACACTTACAGTGACTCCTCTGACCACCGGTTGGTTTGGGAAGTGACAGTGGGGTGTCCTCTGCAAGGAAATAATTTCATCTGCATTCAACACACAGCTGCTGGATTGTTTCATCTGAAGTAATTCATAACTCAGTATGACCAAGTGATGTAATTTTAATCCAGATCTTTTCAACTTCCTATTTAAAAACTGAACACTAACATAATACAAATTATTTTGTGTTTCTAGAAGTGTTAACACAAAACAAACCCACATCTCTGTAAGTCATGGGCTGCTCTGCACGGTTAACACTGATTGATTGATTTTGACATAGACACAAGGAGAATGTAAAGCCCCAGGATTTGCAATTTAAGAATATTGTTGCAACAGCTACTGATACACATTTAGTGTTTAAAATATTTTTGCATTAGTCATAGTGTTCTTGGGAAGATTAGGTTAAAGTTATCCATATGTACAAATGCTATCTGAACCACTAATTTTAGTTGCCATTATTTTTAGCTACACAGCAAAGTGATCCTGTAACTGTTTGAAATAGTTTCAGTGACATCAGGTATCCAAGTCTTCCAAATGAAAGAGAATTGTTAGTGCCTCTTGCAGACTACACCAGGAACAGCTAATAAAAATCCATCAAGTCACAAAATATCTAGGCATGTAAAGTAACACTGTATCTACATGGAATTCAAATTCATACACTGAACTTGCCTACTTAAATCAAACATACCTTTAAAAGTTAAAATTAGCAATAGGATAATAAAAGTAATACCCCAATTGTTCTTCACCAGAGCCTTTTCTTGTTATCTTTAACCAAACTCATATTTTTTTCTTCCTTGTAAAATTGTTTCATTGTGTTTGGTAAGGTCAGTAGTATTGTGTACAGATAAATTGTAATCAGCTTTATGTATTTAAGTGTGAATGTCAGACTCAACAGAAAGAGTCACAAGTATTTCCTTAGGTAACTGCAATTTGAAGAAAGAAAAGCCACTATGGGTTCCAAATTGGAGCACTGAAAGATGACATTCTTCAAAGAGCAAACAGAATACGTTGGAGTACAGAAATGTCAAAAATATTTTTTTTTTACTTCTTTCATTTCTTTTCAAGTTCATAACTTTATTAAAAATATTTCCCCTATGTGGAAATATTTTGACAATTTTTGATTGTAAACTTAAATCACTTGAAGTACTAAATCATATTCAGAAGATTAGCTTTCTAGATTCAGTGTTTGAACTGCAAGTCAATATTCTAATTTATTATGGAGATAGCTTGCATTTTTCCAAGCAAATTACATAATTAATCAAACTGAAAAGGAGGTGTATCCTATTGTAAAAATATCCATCATATAGAACAATTTCCATTGCTGTCAAGTCCTTTCAATATTTGATGAAGTAATTTTACCCCCTCTTTTCAAAAGACATTTCCTTTTATTATGTATCCTAAGACACTTTAACTAAAAACCCAAATCTGAATATTTCAATAAGGTTGTTTTATTATTCAGTAGATTCATGGAAATTTTACTAGGATGACAGAAAAAATTCCACACCATTCTGTCTCCACTAATACAGGTACATGGCTTCAGCTGGCAATATTACTGGGATTAGCATAGAATGATGAAATATTTAAAGGAATTTTTTTTTCTAAAATCTAATAAATCAAATGACTGCCAAATGTCATTAAAGTGATGGTCTCTGACTTGAATATGCTTTTCATATTCAAATTTGAAAAGAAAGAGATGAAAGCCTGGAAAGGTTACTCAGTTTCAACTAATAACCTCAAGCACTCTACATTCACATGCATAAAAAATGAAATTGGCTCTATTGTCTAATTTTACTTCAGAAACAACTCTTTTCTTCTTGCACTGAACAGATGTATTAGCATCTGTATTTAAAGGGATATGCTGAGTGGTTTTGTTCGCCCCAAAGTATTTAGCAGCTATGTCAGACTAGTTTGTACACAGACAGTAGCTTATGAATCAAGTCCAAATACAATATCCTGTATTATAAAGTATTCCTTTTACATATTTTAAGATTTGTTTGACATATTTAACACTTGTAATTGCATACAGCAGGCAAAGAATATTACACTTTTTCAAGGCTAATGGGGTAAATCCAGGTATTCTGCTTTCTAACTTACCATGAAGCAAATAACTGAGTCATACTATTAGAAAATTGCAAGAAAAAAAATTAATTTGGAGCTTAACAGTCAAGACTATTTTGAGTTTTATTAATGTTAATCATGAATACAGCATATACAAAGAGAACACAGGCTGATTAAAAAAGGTATTTACAAATAAAAAATATAGAACTGCTGAAGAACAGCATAGCTAGCATGTCATATTTCACCACTAATACAAACCCACTCATATTATGTAGTCAGGCTGAAAATACATATAGCATCCAACATATGATAGGAATTAATTTTTAAACAACTATTTATTTTTCTGTGATGCAGAGTGAAATATGTTATTTAAATCTTTTCCTAAGTTTTTTTTTTTTAAGCCTTGGTCTCATTTATTAGGTACTATTCAAGTGAACAATGGAGAATTTGTCAATTACTGCCCACAAATCATTCTATTTTAATGGGAATAAAATTATTCTTTACATTTAGAATTTAAAACAAGATATAATACAAAATTTCCTCAGAGAGAGAGAATGGGCACATATTAAAATAAAGACTATTAAATGCTTTCAAAGAATCTGAGAAACTGGTTCAGTGCTTTCATTTCAGGTGAGGGAAACAAAACATGGGCAAGATACTTAGTCTATGTCAGAATTCTTTCTCTACCTTTTAATACCAACTCTGTAATTAGTGCTACCCAGAGATTTGGAAGAAGCACTGAACTCCAACAAGCTTCAGGATTTGGATAAGCACTGAATGCATTGGACATTTCGTACAAAATTTACATCTCAACTTTTCTCATCTGTCTGAGATTAAGAAACCCTTTTATTAATTCCACAGTCAGTCTTGACTGCCACCTTCAAGAAGCTGTATATTCCATATTTTTAATTTCCTTTTTGGTCACACTAAAAGGCTACGACTTTGATGTGAAAAAAAAGATTCCAGCTGACTCAAATGGTACACAATAGCATCCCACAGAAATAAGTGCTTTCTGCACAGAACAGCAGAGCTGAAAATACCTTGCTAATAGGAACAATGTTCCTATTTTTTACATCCACAGTTTTAACTAATATATGGTCCTTGAAAAACTTAAAATAAAGGGAACTTCTAAATTGTAAGACCAACTTAAATCCTGTACTGAAAAATGCTCAAAAATATGTACACTTTACTCCTTAACATTTTATATATTTATTTTCACTTGTTTTCTTCTATTTCATGTGGAGAGCACACAAGCTATTCTCCAATAATCACAATTATTCATCCACTTACTATCAATACTTCAATCACTATCAGTATTACTTGATTGACAAATATATTTATTGAATGACAAGCCATCCTCTTCCTCTATCAAGTGTTAAATTCTTGTGATCATCTTATTAACAATGTCAGAACAGAACCAGAAATGAATGCTATCACAGGAATGTCAATTTAACTCAAGTGTTCAGAGACACAAACATTATTCATTAAATAATTATGATTAACAGGTAACACAGAATCATATACACATAAAAATACATATTACAAAAAATTATTCTAGTTCTGTAAGCAGTGACTTTTCATGTTAGGAACAACATCTTCTACTTTTACCTTTTCCCCACAATGGTGTGGATGTGAGAACAGAAAGAGGGATGTGGAAATGCTCCCTGTTCCTTCTCCAAGTGGATGGGACTTCCTATAGTGCATCCACTTTGGACTCTCCCTAAGACCTGGGGCAAAGAGATGTCTCCTTGTTGAACAGCTCTTCTGGAGGTGAATCTACTGTGAAGGAGGGAAAGGCACATGTCATGTTCCCCTGCACCACTGCTCTGCCACGTGCCAGGAGGAGAACACAATGGCCCAAGGTCAGCACCATAATTAGGTTTGATGCAATCCCCTCAGCTCTGTCTAGAACTGAGAACACATTGAACTAAAAAAATCTATTTGTGACAATGAATACAATTCTGGTTCCTGCCATTTTATCCAGTGCAGAGTCCAAATTCCTCATTTTTTGAGTGCAGCTGTAGTGGAAGAAATATATCAAATTGCACAGTTTTAATATAACTAGGTTTTTTTATTTACAGTTTTATTATTTAATATTTGATAATGTATCCCCCCCTCGCCATTACAGTATTGTGTGGGGACCACATAGACATTAAAAAAATTAATTGAATTTGATTCTCATAATACTCAGTGTGAAAAAATTATGCTTGGTGATATAGACAACACAACTAATAAAAATTAAAATTTATTTTCAAATGCTATCCTTTGATTTTTAAACTTCCAGTCAGAAAAATACTCCTTTCTATTTGTAAAGTCACCATAACCTACTACCATGTCCATAAGCTCTGACAAACAGTACCTCCAGTAAGCAACTGAGGATCATTCTTATTCATAACCACAAAAAAATTACCAGTGGGGTTAAAAATGACTCTTGCTGATACTTTTCTTGTGGGCTTATGCATTCAGCCTTAAATCTGACTTTCTTCTTAATTTCATATTCTAATTAGTATTATTTGTTACCTAAAAAATAATGGGTCACCTAATGACTTAAGATTATGTAGTTTTCAATCATTTTAAAAGTGGTTGTTTGGGTTTTTTTGGTATTACTTCACCCTTTTATTCCATTTCTTCCATCATGAAGAATGACTTTCAGTACATGCTTCCAATTACAACTTCAAAGTATATTTGACAAGGGGTAGATGGAAGTTGTAAATCCATCATTTCTGCACAGTGCCTACTCAAACTTCTGTCATTTCAAACTTTATCAGTGGCAAAAGACAACTTAAATATTGCCTGGATTCTTTAAACTTTCTCTCTTTTACTTTAGTTCCTGGACTATAGTGACCATAACACAAACAATCACCTCAGTGATGGAGAATGGCAAATGCTCCCTTTTAATCTTAGACCCACTAGTAAGTACTGACTATAAAGTTTTAATAAGTTACTTGTATCTTATTCTGATAAGATGGTTCTGTTTCATGAATTTTATTTCTTGTTTTATTAAATATGCTGGTGGAGCACTTTTACTTCCCCAGTTTCTTACAGAAGAAAAGCACAGAGCAACTGGTTTTAGACAGGACTAGGAGGATACAAAGGATTAGTATTTCTGGCACAGCAGAATCAAGCCAACTCAGTAACACAGGGTAATACTAAAACTCTAAAATTTTAGTTCTCTAAATTCTGATTGGATATTCACAAAACAAGCCAGTTTGAGGAAAATATTGAACACTCAAAAATCTCCCTGAAGCACACTAAAGGCACTCAAGTCCTGCAGAAAATTAGTGTAAAGAGAAATCAAGTCAGTCAAAATTTAAAACTGCAATACAATGTCCAAATAATTTTCTTTTTTCCAATGAACAGAGATATCACATAGGAGGAAATGCACTAGTCAAGCAGTCATACAGAAAAACATAATAAAAAGTATCTATTGCTTTGCTATACATAGGTTTTATACTTTACATCTTACATTTGCACAAACAGGCTTCATTCACCAAGAGAATCATGGGCAATTGGTATTGTTCTTTAATGGTGTGTAAGAGGGATTTTTATGTCAAAACTAATTAGAACTTGAGATCTTAACTTACAGTTAGAGGTAAATGACAGTTATCAAAAAACTGCTATTAGAGCAACAGAATGCACTCACAGTAGCTGCACCAAAAAAGAGAGACCTATAGAAAATAACAGAACCAGCATTGAATAAATTGGTCTTGCCAGTAATTACCTCATGGCACATTTTAAGACAACTTGGAAGCTGACAGCAGTAAATTTTATTGTGATAACTGAATGCTGTATAATCTCCTGTAAGGATACAGTGTAGACATGGGGGTGAAAGGGAGGAGGGGATGGAAGAGAAAAGACTTTTTTTTTATTTTTTTTTTTTTTAATATAAAGGCCATGCCAAAGAAAATGCAAATTCCCAGTTTTGATGTCTATTTTGAGGATCTGAAACAAGGCTTTTAATCAATGTATTATACATCAAATTGATAATGTTAACTTCTGATTATTCAAATGTATGAAATATTCATAGAGAACTGTCCAAACTTTTACATTTCTCAGACTTCTTTTCTCTATTAATTATCATGCCTGGAAGCTTTTTAGTAAAAGCAGCAGCCATCAGCCTGACTGAACCTGACAAGCTAGCAAGGCCCAATTACACTGGCACTCTGTGGCACTTTGATGTACTGGAAACGAAAAGAGATAGGGGCAAATTGTATAGCACATTATGTTAATGACTTGATTTAATCCAGCCACTAAACTTTATGTAGCCTGTTAAAAAAGATGCTAACACTAATTATGCCACTTTGGAAAGGAAAGAAGGGGACAAGCATTTCATACCGACAAAGTGAAGCTCATAAATGTTGTAAATGAAATGAAACAAAATGAAGTAATCTATGATTAATCATACATCATAGACAAGAAGAAAAGAGAAAGAAGCAAGTGGTACAGCTAAGTACTGGAAAATCTGTTAGATACCCTTTATGATCAACATATCTAAGAAATAACCATGAACTGTCTAATTTGCAACATGCAAAAAACCCCCAGTATGATCTTAAATGGCTTAAACAGTTTGGCATACAACTCAGATTTATAGGATAATTAGCATAACGATCTCTAAAAATCACAAGTCTTATTTACAGTGTTTGATTACCAGCAGGATATTTATCTCAAAAGATAAAAGGCAGTGATTTTTAATCTTAAAAAAATACAAATTCAATAACAATTTTGACATGCTGTATTCTAGAATTAACCCAAGAATTCAAATAAACCAAGGCATATTTTTAAAATCCAATTTGTATCAAACATGTTGTCTTAATAGTTTATAGCTTTTATTGTTTTATCTACCCTTTGTGAACATGCACTTTGTTACCAGAGGAAGAGATCAATGGAGAGAGGTAGAAACTGATGAACCTGAAATGAATCTACACACAAAAATCGCTCAGAAGTGTTCTTAAATAACTGTGATAAAATAAAATACAGGATGACTACAAAAGTATAGAACAAGTGTTTGACTTACTAGTGATGAGCAGCAGTCATTGTAAATGATTAGTTCTCAAAATTACAGGTGAAAATTTTTTATACAACGCAATTCTTTCTTCAAAAGTACCTTTTGTATCTTTCTGAAGAATATACAGGCGATAGCATTACTGAATCCCTTCTACAGCCTAAAAAAGAAGGAGCAATATTTCCCATACAAAGAGTTGCTTCTTGTTGTTAGTTGCTTTGTAAGATGTCTCACGCCTTGAAAAAAAAATTTAAAAAAGTCAAACTACCTCTAGGATATCACATTGCAGAGCACTAAAATCCGTGAAGACTGATAGGATCTCACAGTACACCTCTAGTCCTTTAAAAGAAAGTTAAGACAGATGACAAAAGTATTAACTGTTAGAGGTACTAACATCAATTTTAAGTACTAGTTTCGTATTTTTTAAGATAGTTCAGTCAATGTTAGATCTAAAAGTAGGAAATACTTTTTTTTTTTGGAAATACTGTTCAAAGTAAATTTTCCAAATTTGTATTATGCTGTGTTATTTTGTATATATGACTTCATGCTAATTAATTACTGGTTTTAAGAGTAAGGGGACATCATTGGTGTACTTGTCCACAAATAATGATAGAAAAAGAAATACAACTGAAGTGACTGGATACTGTACATGTACAACTTTATTGAAAAGTGATGTTAGATATAGCAAACCTATTATTAGAGGACATTTCAGCTTAAAATCTTTTTCTGTCTTGCCAAATAATTGCCATGATCACTGATTCAGCTGTTTAATATTCGTGGATCTGGACTTGAAATAATAGCATCATTGCTGTCAGTTTTTATTGATTCAACAGCATCCTCATCTTGTCTACCATCTTGATCTGAAAAAGAAACATTAAAAGAATCAATGTAATCAACCTTCCCCATATTGTAGTCCATCTGAGACCTGCTTAGGAATCTGATAACAATATATTTGCTTTTCTAATAAATGAAGAATAAGTGCCAGGCAAATCTTATCTTCCTGCAGAAGATTAACACTGCAAATCAATGACCTTTTAAGTCATCTAAACTGTATTTTTTTCTGTTAAAAAAAAAAAAAGTCTTTCCCAGATGAAAGTTAAGGATTGGAATGATGTAAGCCCTGTGATGAGATGAGGTACAAACAACTGTTAGTTTTACATAAGAACATGGCCTGAATTTCTGGATTTCCTCTGATTATGTTTAACACCATGCACATGTAGAGAAGAATGTATCCTTTTTTTTAATAAAAAAGTAGTTCTGTATGCAGCTGGATTATTTTCTAGAGCATTCAAGGTTTTTTCTCTGAAGCAAATTATTTAGCACAACAGGGATTCAGCATCATGTTTTCCAAATTTTTCTAATGAATTCTTATGCAGAAGCTGCAAGCAAATGAACATAAAATTTTAGCATTCTGGTTGTGCATTTACTTGGCATTGTGGACTTGGTTTATTTCAATGATAAACAGTCTAAGCTCGGAGGTGGAACAGGATGACCCAGCTCTTATAATCTTTAAATAAATCTGCCTCTAACAACTTTATGTCACAAATATGATAAGACATACTACCCCTCTCACTGTCTGAAAGGATTTCTGATATCAGTATTGGCTGTTATCTGCAGACAAAAGGAGCACATTCATTAAAATAGTCTTTAGAACAGCATAGTTCTAAGGGAGAATATAAAGACATTTAAAATAGAAGCCAGGTTTCCTTTAATATTTTATGAATCTAGGTCAGATACCAGATTTTTGCATTCAATTACAATACAGTTTCCATTTGGGAAGAAAATAACACCACCATATCCACCACGCAGCTTCAGCTATGAAGTACACCAGAATATAATTTCTGTCATGAAGCTTCTCATAATGAGGCAGCTCCTACTGCTAGTAAGAAATGCTTAAGAAAATGGAAAGAGACATAGAATTATTAAGAAAATACAGTTACTTATTCATACAAATGAATTCTACCTTCTGGTTCCAATTCTTCAGTTATTTTTGTCTCGTCTCCAGAAGTAATTGGTGTTTGGTCAGCTAACTACTCCTCTGACAGATGTGAGAGCTCTTCTTTCTCCTGTTGAATTTCTTCAGCCATCTCCTTCACCTTATCTGGTAGCCTTTCTTGTTTAACCTCCTGTACCACATGCTACATAAAAAGATAAACTTACAGTCTTTATAACATCCCTTCAATAGTAAAAGTTACTAAAGTTCAGAACTTGAAGAGTAACGGCCCACATTCATTATACACAGCCTTGAAACAATGGTATTGCTTATGCAGCACAAGAAACAATGAGAAGTTGTCAACTGCAGTAACAAATAATTGATACAGTAAAAAGAAATTCTCTAATGATGTGTATTTGTAAAAACATAACTATTATAATCATTTGGTACCTGTCAACATATATACAGCCTCTTATTTCCAGATTCATTTATATTTCAGCTCTTTCAGTTCTACAAGACTCAGTTAAAAAACAAAACAGAACAAACCCCAAACAAACCCACCCCACCAGCACATTATTCAGTTAGCAATTTTATAACTTAAATTATACAGTATTTTCTGTTTCAAAGCAAACTAATATCATATAAAAAAGAATCAGCCTTGCTACAACAGAACAAACATGCTACCTAAGGTAAAATAACTTCAGTGCATAACTTACTCTAAAGTAATCTTATTATCTTCTTTGAGTTCATTTACATAATCATAGCTTGTCAATGGATACACATTACAGGGTTATGTCCAGGATGGAAACTTACTGATGACTGAATTCAGTCATCTTAAACACCATAAAAGTGAGGCCTGTTGAGCTCTCCTGGACTTCAGGAGCCGTGTTTGGTCACCTCTCCCTGCCTGGGACACCTCTCAAGGCTCACAAAGGCTCAAATCTGAGATACTTGCAGGACCATCAGTGACAACGAGGCCTGGGCTGATACTCACCCCCTCCATCTTCACATTCATTAAGGTGTAACTCTTGGTTGTCAGGAAACACAAAGGGATTTAAGTGATTAATTCACTGTACCCTGGTAGATACCTTTAACATTGATAGGTATCTGTACACACAGAGAAATAGGTGCACTCATCACTTTACCTGTGTTCACACAAATTGATTGAAGTATGAATGTTACTGTGTCAAATCTATGGTTAAGTCACTGTTTATAATTGTAGTGAGCCCCATGGAATCGCTTTGTAAATTTTAAAATACTCAGTGTTTAAGTGGTGCTAAACTTTTTTGCACTCTTATCTTTGCATCCATATCTTGGCACCCTTAATCCCCTTTGCATTCCTGGTTTCAGTGTAAATCATTCCAAATTGCTTCTAATTTGATCTTCCTTTGTCTGTTTTAACTTGTGTAGTAATAGAGTGAGCCTTGCCATCAAACTCTGTAAAGTTGTATTTTCACAAATTCACATTAAACCCTGCTTTTGCCAAAACCTGTGGCAGTGTTTCTTTAAGTAGCCAAACCACTTGTTCACAATACATGTCTACCTATATTCCAAAGTTTCTTCATCATTTCCTCCTGCTACATAATGGTAATTTATAGAGGGAGGGCAAAATAAACTTCATCCAAAGAATAAAAGCTCAAGAAGCGATTGGATAACGCTCTCAGACTCATGGTGTGACTCTTGGGGTGCCCTGCATAGGGTCAGGAGCTGAGTCCCTTCCAGCTCTGGATATTCTATGATCTGTACTGTGTGGGTGACCACACACTGAACAGGCTGCCCAGAGAAGCTGTGGAATCTCCCTCTCTGAAAATATCCCAGAACCATCCGGACACAATCCTGTGCCATGTGCTCTAGGATGACCCTGCCTGAGCAGGGAGGTTGGACCAGATGATCCCACTGTTGTCCCTTCCAACCCAAACCGTTCTGTGATTCCATGAATATTTCTGCAACAGCCTTTAGGGAACCGAAGTGACAGGAGGGTCCTGCCATTCAGTTTTCCCACAAAGCTAAATTATTTTTCATGAGGATCCACTCAAAGTCTCTATTTTTTTCCCCATTATAATAGTACCAGCAGTGATCAGAGCACACTTGGATCGGGGTTGGTGCTGCATGCTGGCTGCTGCTTAGCTTGCTTCCCCTAATCATCATTGTTTTTAACCTGTACATAAAAAGTACACACTTTGAAGACCACTGAGACCTATTTTGCTTATTATCCCTAATAACAGTATGGTCTATGAAATTTTCATACTCTTAATACCACTTTAAATTCAGCATTGCATAGTAAAGCTGTCAGTAACAACTGTCAATATGTCATAACTTCATATTAATGTATCTTAAGGCATTTTTATTTATCTATACTCATTTATTTAGTATCACTTAAGGCCAGTTTTGCAAACACTTGCTGTGGTCAAATAAAATGTTTAAATATTCAATCTGAAATTAGAAGTCAGTAGAGCTACTCAGAATCTTAATGGTAAGCACATGATGAACTCAAGCCATAATCATCATAAAGATTATTCACAACGAGTTTGCCCACTTCATTCCACTCTGCTGTTCACAGAAATACACTTTTTAAAGACAAACACTAGAAGAATCAACTCTAAAAATATTTAGTTTACTTCCTGTCTGTGCTCTTTTTTTGTAAACTTTATACTGGCACAGTGTTGAGATAAAAAAAGAAAAGATTGCAAGGTCAATTATTCACTGAGAAGTTTTCATGAGAAAAACACACATGAAATAATCAGTTCAGTAGATTAGAAGAAAAATAAGTTATTGTAAATGCACATAGCTGTAAATAAAAATTGGTGTATTCTGAAAATATTAAAAATTTCTGAATTAATAGTTAATTAAAATTAATTAAACATGGCCAAGGGTAAGAATGGGCTTCAGGTAACTTTGTGCAGTACACAGAATAGTGGTTTTTAATTTGAGAGAGACTGTCAGATGGGACTCTTTTCCATAAGAACTTCCAATGTAGAGAAAAAATACTGAATAAAGAGTAAATATTAACCCAACAGATGAAGAATAAATACAGCTGAAATGATATGAGCCTCATTCAGCATATAATCTGTACCGGGTCAATTTTTGTACTTAACAGTTACTCATAACTTTAGTGTATTGTACAAATGTACATTTAGAAGGCAGCATTGAGATCACCAGCAAGAGAAACTACTTCCCAATTTTCTGGGCAATATTCCTGAAATCCTCATCTCGACCTCTACATCTTGAGAAAATAGCTTTTTTTTACAGAAATATACCTGTTTCTACTTTGATCTTGTCAAGGATTTCATTGTCTGCTAAATCAGATTTGATAGCCATCTCTAGTTTAGCAATTTGCAGTGTCAGCTGCCGTTCCTTTGATTTCCACTGCTGTTCATGGGTCATACAGAAGACACTCCAATAAAACATATGGCATGTGAAAAACTTTCAGAAATCAGCTTCAACAGAAAATAATAAAGAAAAAAGCTTTTAGTGGCACAGAGACCACTGTCATCATGTCTTAGGAATTAAGTAAACACATGCTGGTCTGCTGCTGTTGAAACCAAGGCGCCTTTCTCAGGCTGCGGTTGAAAAACATGAAAGAGTTTGTGGGATGAGCGAAGGAACTGGCCTTAATTTAGAGCTCCAGAGTCAAAAAGTTGGCAGCATGCAACATTTGTGGGACTAGAAAAGGAATTCAGATGCATATCCCAGAGTAATCCACAACTCCAAACCTCAGCGACTGACAACTAACAAAACCATTCTTTCCACATACAAAACCTCTTAATGGAGAGAATTGGGATCATCCACCTGATTTCTTTTAAATCTGTGAAACATGCAGAGCCTAAAGTCAGTTGCCCATTCAAAGAAATGGTGACCACAAAGTGACAACAGTTTTCTCATACTGTAAAACAACAATTCTGATCCTGATTAAGAAGCACATCAAGAGTAATCTTTCTCCTACTTTAAGAAATAAAAAACAGAGATAGGCAAAGAAATTAGAATAACTATTTTGCCTGTAACACATTATTTACTTGCAAACTACCAATCTACGTGCAATAAGGATTGCATGGACAAAGAATGAGAACTGCTGAAACCACAACAAAATCTGTAACTCAGATTGAAACAAAATTAAATGCATTATATAATTTACAGTATAATTTCCAGTAGGCAAAAAGACAAAGCAATGCAATGAGCTTTCATATAAATTAAACAGTGAGTGCTATAGTCTTCAAATTATTATTGCTCTATACTTGCATTTTTATTTATTGGAAAAATGTCCATCTTAATCAAGCACAGAACAGTGTATTCACTTTTGTATTCTGTGAAAAATCAGAAATTGTATGTTTCTTTAAAAAAACAGGAGTCAGTTCCTCAACTCTTCACTTTGGTGAAGTTCATCAGTTACAAACATTATATTTTACATGTATAAATGTATTAAAAATTTTCTGACATCTATCTACTTATCAACCCATCTCTCCTATGAAACAAGCCTCAACCACAAAAAGAGAGAGGAGAAAAAAATAGTGCAGAAGGGACAGCCTGCAAAGGACAGACTCTACATTCTGACTGGAAGAGTTCTGAGTACCTGTAAGTGCATCTATATCTAATATATTTGAAGAATGAAAGATTAAAGGGAAAAAATACTACAGCATGAATTGTAAACTCTAAGGTATATGGCAAGAGTTTATATTCCTGATTTGTGTTCTTCATAAAACCAGTTCTGTTTCTTTGTATTGTCTTTTTCTCATACTACATCTAACCTATTTACACAGGTATAAGCACAGAGCATCTTACAGTGTGACTAAGTGTTTTTACAGCACACATGCACTTAAGCAATGCTTCTAAGTCCTGCAGTAATATATGCTTCACTCTCCTTATATTTTGAAGATAATATGCAGGGAATAGGATGCACTGAACCCACTATCATTCCATAGTACTGCACAGGAACAGAAGAGAGGCAGTGTGTTCTCCAATTGCCTAAAGTTTGATTGGCTCCCATAAGGGAAGCATAAATCTCATCAAAAAAAGAAAGACCATCAGTTTTCACACTTCTGAAAATGTTTTCAAGTCTCGATGACATTATCTAGTTATATGTGCATTCATCAGCTTTAGGTACAATTACTTCACATGAAGAGGTAGCTATATATTTCAGTTTTTCAGAAGACCATGGTAGAAAAATCATTAAGAGTTAGCATGGTAGTAGTTCAGAATGCAGATGTTTAAATGAAGAACATTTTAGATGACAGGTTTTATCCAAGTCTATATAATGCTAATGTTTATGTCAGTTTGAATTGAGTCCTCTTGTGTTGCTTTCTTCCTTTGAATTTTAAGATTACTTTTACTTGAATTCATGTGGAATTTCTTTCATATTTACTGTATTTCATTGGAGTTGGAGCCATCTGTGTAACTATAATGGTCAACCACATCTGGCACCATTTCCTTTGGAGGGAGTTTAAGCATTGCTAGATTTGCATTACAAGGTCATATGAAAACAATTCCTCCAAACCTTTTATCCAAACGAATTGTTTTCTTGGATACTGACTAAATAATAAGAGTCAACTGACAAATTCATACTTGTTCTTTGAAAACTTTTCAGATCCAGTTCTGCAGGCTTGGCTTTGGCAAAATTCCCATCAACGTCAAATAAATTTCCTAAAAATAACATTAGCAAAGAATGGGTTTATGCCTCTTTTCCTCCATTAAAAAAAAAAAAAAAGGAAAAAAAATTATCTAGTAACTGCAGACACTGGTCTGTCCACTGCTAGCAATGGGTAAGTTGTGGTAAAGTTGCACTGTTCAAACAGGCAACCAAAAATGCTGGCCATTAAAAGGTGGTTGTAATGAAATGATCCATTTCTCTTTCCAATTTATTGTTACAACATTGAATGATTCTGTGCTCTTGATCACAACCTCACCTCTTTGTTCCTTCTCTTTGAAATAGTTACTGATTGCAATTCGTTCTGAAGATGGAGGCACTTTAACTGCTCCTCTTGAAGACGTACTTTCAGTTCATCACCTTTGCTAATAAAACATCATGGAAGGTCTTCAAATTGTTTAGGCTCTATAAAAAGAAAGGAAGGAAGGAAGGAATATTAAAAAAAAATAAAATAAATCACACCTAGCAGAATGTTACAACACTGTATATTCCAACAGTGGTCTCTCATGGCAGTATTTAATATATATTCTGAATGTGGTCAGCAGGAGACACTCTTGATCCAAGTAACTGAAAGCAACTTTCTTTCCACATGGACAAGAGAAGGTGGCAGTGTTGGTGCTCTCATGAACATTAAACCCTCAGTTCAGTCATGATGAAAACAACCAAGAAATACATCTGTTTAGCAATTAAAAGATTTTGCTGTGGTTACAGTGGTTAGACATGCTGACCGAAAAACACTGCAGTAGCAAGCAAAAATGAATGTTGACCACAGTTATGCTAATCACAGAGATTGCCACAGCTCTGTTAACCCTTAATTGTAGATATATCATTGTTTCATAATCCTAATACACTCAATTCCATACTAGCAGTATTTTAACAAGGGCCTTCTGATTTCTTTTACATTTTCATTTACTTCAATGGATTATATTAAGGCATATTTAACCAATTTTATATTAAATTGAGGATGCTGATAGAATCTCTGTTTCTAGAATATTAGTTAATGTTATAGTGCCTACATTCCACAAAGCTTTAATTCACAAATGAATATCAACTGCTCTCCATTGCAGTTGTGAAACTACTGTACCAATAGTTCAAAAGAATTGACCCTCTGTAGTATTTTACCTTGCAGTTCCACAGATTAACACATTCCATATTATAAATCATGAAATCCTGAAAACTCAGCCTGTAATTAAAGCAAATAAATATACCAATGGGATAAACTGCATACTCCTAGCAGTTTTGGGGTCCCTGGTTCCTCTAAGCAGATTGCACAATTCCTTCATTCACCTAGCTACATTAAAATTCTACAGCAACAAAACTGTCAGGTAAATGTTTGGTAAGAAGCTCAACTTCAGTATCATGAGATGCAGCAGGATTATAGGCTCCTATCATTCTGTGGTTTCACATTTTGGGCCGACTCAAGTTCAAAGATGAACATGGACAAATTATATGGGCTTCAATTGGTAGAAACGGAAAGTAAATGATAATGAACTCAATAGACAAAAAAAAAAATCAAGATAAACACAAAAAGAACTAAAACCTGCTGTGTTGATAAGTATGTTACATGCCATCTAAACTAGAAGTTTTGGATTTTGCAGTTATTCACATTTAGTAGACATGTTTCAAACATTCAAATGATTGGAAATCAGAAAACCATTGCAGGCATTCTCTTACAACAAAAAAGAGACAGAACACTCACTCATCGTTATTCAAAATGCACCTTTCACTGTGAATATTAGAAACAATGTCTTCGAATACCACTTTAAATCCTGTGCATGTGTTTCCATTCAGCTGCTGCCAGGAAAGAGGCACAAGCACTTGACGTTTGCTGTAAATTACCAAAAAGTGGCACATGATTTAAAATGGAACAGTTCACTTATCGCTTTCTATTTAAGAACAGAAAAAGCCATGTGAAACCTGTCTCCCCTGGAATTTACACTCTACATAGCTCACCCTACGAAAAATTAGATTTGAGCTATTAACAGGAGAGCTGCTTTGGCAGGGAGGATATAGGTATTACACCAAAGAAGGGGAGGGAGGCAAAACAAAGCAAAATGTAGAAACAGAACAACACAGGGAAAAAAGGAACAGAACAAAAATCTAATGTCACAAGTGTTATTTAGCATGCTAAAATAATAAGCAGCAGGCAGCAGTAAGAGTTCACAAGGATATTAAGTGCTTCCACCTCATAAGGCTAGGATACTTTATAAAGTTCTATTGCAGTTAGGACTCCTACTTACAGGAACTCTCCCATTTCCAAGCTATTACCAAATCACCTCTGTATGGACATGCAGTTCTCCAAAGACATACAGGAAAAAGGAGACAAGAGCTGAATAACTAAAACCTATACAGAATCTACCATGCAATTGCATGTTCTGGTGATATTTTCATAAAAATGCTCTTTTTACAAGGAAAGTTATTACTTACAGTAGCCCTCTAAAATAATTTCCATGAACATATGAACACAAGTTATATCCTAATGTGAGACTGAAAGAGCCAAACCTGCTCTGATAAAGTGAGGGGGGGTAGCATATTTAAGGCAAAGTCCCCTCTTTAAATCATGAGTGCCTTTCAATAGCCAGATAACTCAGTTTATTCCTCACAATCTGCTTCAGATGACTTTGCAGATAAAATCATTAAAGACCTGCTATACCCTTCTGAAAAAAAAAAATAAATTTTAAGACGAAAAGTCCTTACTCTCTTTGGAGTAGCTTGAGAGAAATGTAGTATGTGGTACATTTTCATGTCCTCAGTATTGACTAGAAATCAAGGACTGGGTATATTTTTTTTTCCATTTAAGCAGGTTTACGTGATGAGAGCATGGGAATGTACTGACCAAGTTGCAATTATCTCTTGAAGCTGGAGAAATTTTCCTCCCATTGCTGAAAGAGCACTGCTTTTCTCAACCAGCTGTTAATGGACCTTGATCAGTTCCACATTGTCCTGAATGTTTAGCCTTCAAAATTAAAAAGAAATGCATCATGAGCTTAAAAATACAAAATGAATTATATTACTTTTGTTTTGAAAACCTGAAATATTTTGCAAATCAGCTTTCTACAGCACATTTGGAGAGAAGATTTAGTGCGTAAGACCCAAATTAATTTATTTTATAATGCACATTACAGAATTTATGTAAATGAAAATGATGACACAGCAACTTCAATCAATACATCAACATCTTTGACTATTGTATAAAAGTGTACATGGCAGGAAAAGAAAACAACCCTATACCTAAACAGATTGTTTTCCATTCACTTTTCCACCCTCTGAAGTATATGGTGCAGTAGCATACCATTTTATGGAGTTTCCTTCAGGAGTTTAAACCCACCAAATATTGCTAAGAAAAAGTGACTCAGCAATTCATACTGTAACACCTTAAGGCTGGTACTCAAACAAGCTTCAGGTTTGTCTTAACTACATGAAAATAACTTAGTATTTACGTAAATATTGTTACAATGCTAAGATTAAAATTCTAAGATCTGAGAATGTACTGTTTAATAGAAAGGATGCTTAAAATCATTCAAAATTTAAAGAAATATTTATTTAGATGTTTTCCCTTACTTCAAACAGTGCAACTAAACTCCATTATTTTCACAGTTTCTTCAAGTATGTGACGAGAAACCGATTCTGATCTGTATTAATATAAATTATTATAAAATCAGAATAAATCTTTAACATTTGAAAAGGTAATTTCTCTTCCAATATTTATCTCTTTTAGTCATATTGGACGAATTGTCACAATGCCACGCTGGAGCAAGACAATGGACTACAAAGCTTACACATCTGTAAACCAGCTGAGTACATGAAATACTTTCCTTTTATTCTTTAAAATACCAAATGCTATTGTGTTTTGGCATTGCCCAGTTAATTGTCCTTACTTAGAAGATAAACAAACTTACGAATTTGAGATCTTCACCAAAAAACAGGCCTAACTCAATGTTAAAACTATCATGTGTCTAAAACATGTTATCTACATAAATTAAAGTTGTGGTGAGCATAGACAGCAGCAACTGTCTCATGCTAGCTATTTAAAAGCTAATGTAGTGGCACGTTTTTATTAATCTTGTTCCACACATCAAACAAAAGGCTCTGATGCCTTCAAAGGCTTTTTTTTTTCTTTTTCCCCCCTTCTTTTTTAGGCTTTTTTTTTTTTCTTTTTAAGTAGAAGAAGGAGCAGATGATAGTGAAATTTATGATGTACAGATGTAAACTCCATGGCTCCTGACAGTCAACATTAACTATTTTTTCAACAGTGAATGAAACAGCATTTGATTTAAACAGGTTTGCAATACTGATATTATGGCGTAAATTATTCAAATTCAGAAGTGAAAAATTACTTTTTATTTGGATCATTTCAATTGTAAGAGTATCTCATGAAGTTTCTAGCTACAGAAAGCATGTGCAATTAATTACTTATTAGTGTATTACATCAATCACAATCTCAGCTCTCATTATATTATTTCTCTACAGTACTTCTGCAGTACTTTATTTATTTATTTAAATAAGATATGCCTAAGAAATGTCCACTGCAGCTAGGTACGTGACAAGGAGCCTACTGTTGAAGTATGAGATCTCTTCAGATTTTGTGGGCAAGGCAAAGTTAATTGGGGAAGATTCTGTTGGGGAGGTTAATTTTTCTATGAATTAAGCCACAAAACAGTAGAATAGAATAGAAATTTATGATCTACACAGCCTTCTGCTTCTCAGGGAGGTGTTACATTCTGCTCCCAGAACATCTGCCCAGGTCCTCTGATATAACTTAAAAATAGGGGTTATATTTAGATTTAATATAAATTCAATGATACTTTTCACTTAAACAAATAATATTTCCCTCAAACTAACGTGTAAGACTAAGGCTGTACTGAGATAGCTCAATCAATATTTTCTTTATTGCCCAAAAAGTAAAAAAAATTCTGCCATAGAACCTGAAGATGTGGAGGTAGAGATGAAGCACAAGTCAGAAAAAGAAAATGAACCAATATCCCTTTGGAGACAGTAACATGAATTAATGGGCCTACTGATCTAGCTCTAGCATGCCTTCTACCACAACTGCAAAAATAAGGAACACGACTCTATCCTTCCACTTTAAACCTTATCTTCAAGCTGGATTTAAAAGTCTGAAATGGAGAATGAAGTTAGGAGAAAGTGACTCTTAAAAAAGCTAAGAATGATGTTTGGGGTTAATGTCTGAAGTACACCAAGGAGACAATCTTTTTTCCAGACCTCTTATCATTTGGATTAAAAGCATAGAGAGTGGGGTCCCAGTAACAAGGCTGGGGACCAGCTGTGTGGGACTGGGGCACTGACAGCAACCTACAGCAGAAGGAAATGATTAAAGAAAGGATCTTGACCTGCACTGTACAAATTTATGCCAGTAAATCCCAGATGGCTAAGCTAATAAAGCTGAGGTCTAATTAAACCACATCCCTTGCATCTTGTCTTTGCTTCCATATGAGCAGGACATGGATACAATACTGAGACTACTCTTAAGAGTCACGACTGTTGTATCAACTGGATTAGTGGCTCACAAACTTTCCCTATCTGCATTCAGAACAAGAAAAACAAGCAAGTTAAACACATATCACCTCCTAACTTCTCAGGATCACTTGCCCTCTGTCTGGCAAAATAAAAAAAAGCTTCTCAGCTGATCATTCACAACCACAGACGCACCAATGGACAAGATACACAGACTGCCAAGCAGAGAAGTAAAGAATAAAACATTCATGTGCAGTACTCATCTTATTTTACAATGCTTAAGAACGAATAGGATTATATGTTATGCCCTTTCCTTTGTCTCATTTCTTATAGGAAGGCAAACGAGCAAATACCAAATATCAGTTTCACAAATGCATTCTGGGATGGCTTTAAAAATGTTTTTGAAAAGTACTATCAGCTATTAAGTTATTTGAAGCTACCTGCTTACTAAATGATTTTATTTAGAATTAATGTTTTACCTTGAGCACTGTGTCTAACAGACATCAAACCAAAAGGTTATGGTTTTGGACATCTTTAAATTATAAACAGTCAAGATGGATGCAAATAACTTTTGTACTTAATGTGTTAAGTCTAATAATCCACAGGCCAAGTTTCTCCCTTAAGGCAGAATTAGATATTCCTGAAAGAATCCCCAAATGATCTCTAATTAAAGATGGATAAAACCATTGCAGCCATGTTCCAATGATCATTTCAAGGACTACTGTGCATATGAACTCAGCTCTGTTATGTAGCTCATGTGGTGTTAGACAGAAACTACACTGAAGCTGCAAAGGCAGCTTTGAAATATTACTGGATTTCTTGTGGGTAGAGGACTCAAGATAACAAGTATCTCCCTTCCTTACCGCTGATGGATCAAGGATTTACTGTGGCTGCTTTGCTACTTGGAAACTACGGGTATTTCAATCACAAGAACCCTCTCAACCATGTAGCACAACAAAGAATGTTTTCCTCAAGGTTGAAAGTAACCTAATTTTGTTAACAGCAGGCTGATATCAAATGGTGCTACAGCAAAAAGACTTGTGGGAGCACAGTTATTATGCCCTTTCGGCACCACATAGTTCCTACAGAATGTCAACAAACATTGGGTAGCTACATAACTAGATGACAGCCAACTGTATTCTTACAAAACACAAGAAAAAGCTGCCAATTGTACCAAAATTCAAAGTCAAAAGATATAATGATGAACTAAGATGACCTTATTGGTCACCCGAATTTCCATTTTTTCCTCCAGTATTCCAGTATTTCTCTGCTGATGCAAAGAAGATTAAAAATTACATAGAACCTATAAATCTATTTTTGCAATAAAACAAATAGTGCAGACTGTTCTAGACAGCAGGTACAAGACTTTCAAGAAAGTAAGCTAATGAAAGTCTCCTAAATAGAATATGTATGTACCTATGGTTACAGTTAAACCTGGAGAAGACCCTTAAAGTTCTGGCTCTGGTTCACTCAGCATAAAAAAATACATACCTTGGAAAACATGGGGATTAACAGTCTTCCATAAAGTATTCTAGTGGAAAAATACACACACTATTCTACATATGTACTAGTGGACATTTTTCAATTTATTTACTAGTTTCTTCAGTCAAACACAGTAACTCTTAAATACTAATGTTACTTTTATCAGGTTTCAAACAAGAAATGGACTGTAAAGGAAATAATTCCAGAACTTCAAACATGAACTCACAGATAGTAACATAGGTCAAATATCATGGATTGTATACATGTACTTTCATAAATATAAATAAGGATCTGCACTACTTTTAAAGGAATTTTTAGATGAATTTGAAGTGTATCTTTAAAACTTCTTAAAAAATCTTACAGAAATATGGTAGTTGACAATGAATTTAGATGTTATCTTCAGTTTCTGCCTGCTATACTTAAAGAACAGTGTTTATCTATAGAAAATGAAGTATGGAAGTTATTTGAAACAGATTATTTTCAAATAATGAAAAAATCTTTTAAATATTTTCTGAATCCACTGTAGGCGCAGACTGAGAAATTATTTATGATAACAACTTCTTTAACCTATTTAAACTAAATAAAGGAATTTCTGAATAGGGGAGACTTATGACTTTGTGAATAATTTAATAGCAAACATTATGATGTATTATTTATGTAGCACCACTGATGCACAAAAGAATGCTCACACATAATAAGGGGGTCCCTCCCTCAAAAGGCAGTTAAAGAACTGACCACAGACTTCTCATCCAAGTAGAACTTTCGTAAGGAAGGTGGATCATGAAGTATCAGACCCTTAATGCAACTAAAGGTAATAGTCTGAAACTGAAACACTCAAAAGGGGGAAAATACATGCAAAGTTATATAGTTTTGCATGCATTTTTGCAAAAGTGAAGGAAGAGGAGAAAGAAAAGAGGTTAAACTAATAGAGGCTTTATTGTGAACACATTCTGCATGCATGTTTGTCTGACTTTGCTTCACTGCATAACTATTCCTTCAAAAATTTGCTAATCTGCCCTTACAGGCCCAATGTTTTTCTACGATTTGTAGACTTCAAATTATTAACGAGTATTAGTGAACATTAAACTGCTTGCTATGAACGTATATCTAAATTTTCATAAGAATCATATGGAAGAATGAACAGATGGTTAAAATTTGATGACTTGATGACTTGAACTTCAACTGAATCTGTAGGAGCTGGAAATGAATTCTCTAAAATAGTAATTATGAGCTTCTTTGTTTATTTATGAAAAAACCATAACTTCTTATCATACCAATCTCCCTGCTTAGAATGGATACGTGGATACATGGCTGTTTGGTAAAACATTTTATGAGTTAGTTTCACCAAACAGAAGAAATGAATAAAGCTCATATTCCTTGACAGAAGAATTAATTTCCACAGCTACATATAAACATTATGACATAGCTCTTCTCATGCTTCCACCATGGAGATTTCCATTTTTCACAATACCTTTGGCTTGCTGTTCTCTGCTCTTTCAGTCATAGGATGGACTCCTCAATTTCCTTTTCTTTCTTTCTCTAGTTGACTCACAAGTATCTTTGGCATGTTCTAGTTCCTCAGTGTGTTTCCTTTGGGACTCAATCACAGTCTCCCTGCAAGTACAAGCATCTGACATTCCAAACTCAAGTATTTAATAAAAGTAAGAAATTAAATGAATACACAAGAGAGCAAAAATTGTAGGTGTTCAGCAAAATTTGTTTTTCTTAATGACATGCATTGTAGCAGAGGTTTAAGAGTTTATTTCACTATGAAAACACAACACAGACCCTACACTGTGTTAGAAGTATCCTCCTTCTAATGCATTAGTACTAAGTGTTTTCTGAAAAGCAAAACACCATTAATAGCTATCAAGGATTATGAGATCTTCAATGGATGGAGCAGTGAAAGTAATTTTTAAGCTTTTATTCTGACAGGTAACTTGACACACTAAAAATCAGATGACATGCCTTTAACAGTGGGATTTATCCAGAACATGCCATTTTATAAGTGTATTTCTGTACAATGATTTGCTATGATTCAAGTAAATCTTGTGTTCACAGAACTTCAAGCACAAAATACATAATTGAACATTAATTCATATATTTGTATACTTAGCTTGGGGTCTGCATAGGACATCTTGAATCTGGATCTGTTCTTATGCCAAGAAAAATCCTCGCAGTGTGCCATATCAATATTTGATCTTTATTCCTTGAATCAAGTTGCCCTCTTCTCTTTGCTACTACTGGGCTTGAATCAATTTATTATAGTTCTACCCTATTTTTGCATTGTTAAAACAAAAAAACAAACACTGATTTTGAGAATAAAACTGCCTAATTAATGATATGAAGTGTAAAAATGTAGGTGCATTAAAAATGTCAAAACTTGTACTACATATAAATTAAAGAAGCAAATTGGTAGAGACGATCACTTTTTACGGTCTGTCTGAAAACATGAGAATTGTTTTTATTTTCATATGCCTAAATAATCAATGTAACGAAAATAAAGGCCAATGTGAGGGTGAGATGGAGGAAAAAACCACAGCGTAACTGGCCACCAGCCTGATCCATAACTTGTGGAAGTTAAGGAGACAATTCTGCTGACTCAGGTTTGAACCAGGGCCGTAAGTCTTTCGTTGTTTGGTTTTTTCTAACACATTATCAGCCCAGCATATAAATTAACTGACTACAAGTACTTCTAGAAATGTTCCTATGAAAACAGGAAGATTTTAAAGTGACGTTTCCAAATGTAGCTACCATAAGTAAAGGACTGAGAGAGAGATTGCCTTAAGCAGTAAGTCTGAACAGTAAAAAGCCTCATTATAGATGGCTGCAGTGTAGGATTTGCTTTTCAAAGTCCACACGTGCGACAGATTTTTCAGATCTGCAGTGTTGTGCACACATGTATCAAGAGACCAGAACAAACCTTAAAATTAAAAAAGGAAAAACATGTGCAAACAAACTACAGATGTGAAACTTTGTTATTACATGACAACACTAAACTTTTTCATATACTACTTTTATAACCCTTTAACATGTAGAGAAGTTATACTAAGGAAGTTCCATGATTTTAACTATTAGAAAACTTGCTTGATAAATCTGCACTTTTGTTTAACCCCTACTACTGTGGATTCTCATAATAAGGACTTCAAAGGCAAACAAGTTATCATGACTGTTATAAATAAATACAAGAAAAAAAAAGGAAAGAAAAATCTTTCTGTCTACAGGTACTATTATTGCCCTCTGATGAACAGGAAAAGAGCATGGACGTGCTATAGTACAGCAATTATTAGGGGTACCAATATGAACCCCTGTTTTTAATAAACGTGAATTACACCTTCCCCTGCGTGCTCCAGCCTGCCAGTGGCCACACTCACTTTTCTGAGACCAATGTTAACAAAAGACTGAACACAGCTGTGTGGACAAGGCCTACGGCCTTGAATCTGGAGCTGCTGGTCAGTTGAAAGCAGTTTGCTGCAGAGGCTCTCGTTTTGTCTCTCAAGCCCATGAACTCTTTCTGCAAATGCTCAATTCTTTCTTCCAGCTCCAGGCCTGACCCGGCCACTTGAGGTCGCCACCAACCTGTTCAGACTTTTTTTTACCATTAACAAGCTGTGTTAACTTGGTGGTCATTCCGGGGAAAATAATAAAAAAAGATGAAAAAGAATGTGAAAAGTCAGCATAAAAAGCATTCTGTTGAAAGGAACATAATCACTGTGAAGACTTCAGCATAGAACCTGAATAATAAATTTCAGGTTTTGATATAACTATTACTGCCTGTGAAGAACTCTTTGAAGATAATTGAAACCACTGTGCAGCAATCTGCTTTATAGCACTGACAAATAACAGTTTCCTAAGGCTTATCATTTAAGGTTAGTAAAGGGAGGACACATATTTACTCCATATGCTGCTTAAATGTAATTTTTAACGCATGACCTTATATAGGAACCTCTGCATGCTGTTAAGTAAAGTTACGGATTTGGGATGTGGTGGGGCAAACTATAAAAGATACAATTTCACAAAACATTCAACTATTCAAAGAATGCTAATAATATACAACATTCCAATGATACATAATTTCTACTAATTTAGGGTTTAAATATATGTCTCATTTCTAAAGTGGCTAAAATACAGAGGTTGAAATATTTAAGCAGGTACTTCGGAAAAAGAGACTTAATAGTTCTCATTACCATACTCAGTTTTATACTTGGTAAATATTACCAGTGTGCTTCAGACAAGGAACGGTTAGCTGAAGAATATAATTAGATACAGAGGGAATGGTTTTCATCTGTCCTTAAAAGAATACAAATTTTGCTCTTGGCATCTCAAGAGTTGTACCTTTGATTTCCCTTAGTTTTGATAAACATTGGTAAGCTGGAGCAAAAGGCAGAGAGGGCACATGGGGGTGATGTAATATACACGAACAGAAAACATACCCAGCGGTGAACAGAAAAAACTTGGCATATAAAGAAAGAAAAGGTGGCTTTGATGAAAGAGACAAGTTCAAGACTTTACAAAATCGGTTGCACATCTTCAAGACCTGTATCTAGTTTACAGGGAATCTATTTTTGAAGGTCCAGAAAGAAAACTGAAAATAAGGACACACCTCATTTGTTTAAAGGAGGCTTGTTTGAGTTTTTGTATACTTCTGGACAGAAGCTTCTACTTAAAGAAACAAAAGTGAAACCAAAAAAATCTGTAATGACTTTAGGATGTCACAGAATGTTACTTGCCTGTGAGCAGGTTTTTTGTTTATTTGTTGGGTTTTTTTCAATGTTCTTCTATTGCAAATTCATTCCAAACTTCTAGTTACAAGGGTTTTGGCATGAGGGATGCTGGAGGAGAAATTTAGCTTGAGGAGTTAAGATCTTTGTCTGGCAATCTAGACAAACACTGTATTTTTTATTTTCTGTGCCATAAAGTATTAATTCAGGTATTCCAATGTGGACATTCCGTGTAATGTTACCTAAGTGGATGATGAGTGCATTTGGTAAGTCATCTAACAGAAACACAGGAAATGCCATTTGGAATAAGCAAACAATTCATTTGTTCCACCATCTTGTATTTGACAACAGCCTGACAGAAAAGATGGAAGTTATGTCATGCTGGTCAATTTGTTCCTGATGCACTGAGGCAAAAGGAAAGAATGTTTCAGACTTTATTAAAGTGCAAAATGGTCCCATCTACAGAGGCAATATTTTCAGCTGCTCTTTTATGGATTTGTTCACTTCTGACCAGACCTTGCTTGGGTGCAGCAAGAATTTATTAAGTACAGCATAGTGTGAGCACAGAGTGCTGGTGCTTTTGGATTAATTAGCCCTCCTGCAATATAGGAATACCATGAACAGTTCTGCTGAGCCCAGACTGGTTTGCCAGCACAGCACTAAGTTTAGTAATAAGCCTGAAGTTGCTTGGGTACCTTTGGGCACACAAGGTACTCTGCTCCACATGCTACTTGGGACCACTTCACTGAAGTTATCTGTTACACTGAATAAAGCAGAGCTGATTATAAAGGTATTTTAGAGCTAACTAGACAATCACAGAATCAACTAGGTTAGAAAAGACCTCCGAGATCACAGAGTCCAGCCTGAGACCAATCTCCACCATGTCAAGCAGACAGTGGCACTGAGTGCCATGCCCAGTCTTTCCTTAAATACCTCCAGGGACAATGACTCCACTGCCTCCCTGGGTAGCCCATTCCAACATCTCATCACCCTTTCTATGAAGAAATTCCTCCTAATGTCCAACCTAAATGTCCCCTGGCACAGCCCGAGACTAAAGATGCCAGTCTACTTCCTGAAGGCCAGAGAAGTACAAAATAAAGGGCAGAATCTCTCTGTATAGATCATTTTGATTGTAGAATGTAATTCTGGACGAATCATTAGGTTTCTGTAGCCTCTTCTTCAGTTCCCAGAACACCCATTGTACTCTGACAGCACAGCTCTGAACCCAAGGTACAACTCCAAAGTAACAGCCAGTGCTGTACCTCTGTACATGGAGATCTAATACCCACAAAAAAAATCCACCACAGCAAAAAAAAAAAAAACCTTGCATGCACAGAGATAACCAGAAATCAATAAAAAAATGAATTACCAGTGATTTTTGCTAGTGCTTTAAAAAGTGCTCTGAGAAAAATCAGCATGATTTTTAATTTGTTGATAAGGCTTTAAAGGGTAAGAAATGTTACTGTAAGCTAAAATAAAAATATGAAACCTCATACCTTTTAATTTTCTCCTCTTGCTTATTTGTATGCTGCTTGAATAAGATGTGGTCATCATGTATATGAAGAAACCTGTCCTCCAGTTCTTCTCGAATGATTTGTTGTACAGCTTGTAGAGCTTTTACATTGTGTGGTTGATGATTCTACCCAAACCAAGACAACTTCAAATTACCTTTAATATATTCAACAACATGTAGTTCAAAGCCTAAATCATTTTGAAATACTGAAAAAAGAAGAAACTTTTTAAGTAATATTTTTCACTTATATGAGTCTGTTGATTAATTTTTTCAGATTTATTGTCATGTTAAGCACTTCCTATTACAGATTAAAAAAAGCAATTAAAATGATACAGCAAACTGTTTACCTATTAGACAACACAAAGTTAACAGTTTAGCAAGTAACCAGGTTCTTTAAACCAGGTTCCTTAAAAATAAACATTACCAAAGAGATGCTTTCTAATCTCTTTCAAAGTTAACATACTGTCTTGAAGTTTGAAAAGATTAACTCATAGTTCTGCAGATTTACTCAGACACAAGATTAAGCCCAGTTGTTCCATTCTAATAGCAGCTGAGTAACATATCAGAATTGCATAATACTGATTGCATCCATTTTGTTAAATGGATGTGGCCTTGTCCTCAATTCAGAAAAAAAGTCCTTTTTTTCTTCTGGAAGGATGAATGTTACAGCTCAATGACATTTCCAGTTTTTAGCATCTCACAGCAAGTCCCCTCTTATAACAAACAACTTGAACATAGAATGGGTCACAGCATCTTTCAGAATTTAACCCAGATTTTGAATGGTATTTGAACTTAATTTTGTGAGTGGCAACATCAGAAACATTTTTAGAAAGGAACTAAAGAAGCCACTGATCAAAGTCTGTAACTGTAATAAATAGCAGCTGGTACAAACCTTGTAATCCTTCAATTCCAGATGGAGTTAGACCCGTATCTCTCACAGGCAGGTCCCCCACAGTTTCATCAGCTGAAACAGGCATGGCTTATCTATGGATAACAAAATTCAAATGAAATTCTTCTCCATCTGTTATTTAAACTGTGAGACTAGAATGAACTACAGTACCTCATACAAAATGAAAGAAAAAGTTATGGCAGATCCACTGAAATGACAGACTAGTACATTACTGTAAATGCTCCTATCTCAACTGGATTGCTCAGAGGACAATCTGAACTTTCAAGTTTAATTTTACGCCAATTTTAATCTGCTCACAAAATCTGGCTATTTTGGTTATGCAATAGTTTCAATTATATTTAATGGATGTAAAATTAGCTTTTTAAAGTTCTAGTTCTGCTGTCTTCAGCAATCTTTGGGCTAAGGCCATATTTTCAAGTGGATGTGGGAAGGGGACCTGTGGGGTTTTTTTGTTTGGTTCGGTTTTTTTAATCGTTTGTTCATTTTAAGACAGGTCAAAGCTTGAGGCATCAGCTGGTAGATGAGTAATGCCATCTTCCATATTTTGAATAGGACTGTTTGAAACAGAGGCGCTGGGGGTTATGAAGTCATTTCAGTGTTGCCTGGCATTCTCTTAGTCTTCCTTCAATCATTGTCATAAGAGAAATTAGTTTGTAAGACAGAGACTTTCCTATGAATGATTCTCATAAATCTGAACATATTTCTTTCTTGAGGCAACAGAAAGCTTAGCTACATGACAAAGTGAGGTTAGGAAAGTATTAATGTGAGAAAGTACTACATTTGTTTCGGTGTAATATATGAACATACTTGTTAACAACTGCTGTTTCTTTCTTGTTTTCTGGTGCAGAAAATTACATGTTGGTCACAGAGTCAAGTAATGCTGAAATAGCAGGAAAAGGAGAGACATGAAGTCTTTTGGACAATCTTCCTCACTCCCTATTTTTACACCTTTCAGGTGATATAACTCCTTAGTGAATCCAAAAACATCTAGAAAAGCATTGGGAAATTAACAGTGATGCTACTAAAGACTTGCATCAGAGAACAGAAGTGACACAGTATAATCCACAGACTTTCCATGAAGTATCTGTTAATTTTACCATAATCAAAACTGCTGCTAAAGCTATGCCTTTCTTCTACCAGGAATGTCTTCCATCATAAACAAGTCTCCTTATGGCTTTGTCCAAAGGGAACAAAAAGAATTAATGGAACTTTAGTTTCCAACAAGTCAGTCCTGCTTTGGTTTTTTCACCACTAATATCTATAATAAAGTATTATTTCCAGCTTTCACTGTTTATAAAAACAGAAACACATTTTTCTTTCATGTGGAACAAACGTTTCCTTGTCACAACCACTGAAAGGAACTGATCTACACTTTTAGATTAGTAATAAGGTTGCAGCTTTAATGCTCTCAGTCACAGAAACAGAGAATACTCTGATGCTGATGTCCATGGCATGCAGCCACTGCAACCAGTGGCACCAGTGGCAAATACATATCAACTGGAATCCAGCTGGTCAGTGTCCTCAGCTCTTTACGTATTATTCTCAAAACTTTTTTGTCATTTGTTAAATTAGCTCTAGCTGCAGTCATTGACTTCACTCAGGTCCAGGTTCATTACTGGGGTCACTATTATATGTCACTGTATCAGTATCACTACTGCAACTGAGATGAAAGAGAAGCAGAAACCTTTACCTCCCAATGATCATCCAAATTTGGTTCATGATGGTAGCAAGGAGATGTTACCATCATATGTCTTTCTAGAATGTGGTTGTCTTTGCTTTCACAAATCAAAAATTACAGGGGTTTTTCTGGCAAGTTTCAGAGACATCACAAGAGCTAAACAAATATTTTATCAGCACAACTCCACAATGTTTGTAATCTATCAAAATGAAGCTTCACAAACTCTAGCACAGTAACAAGCACAGGCAAACATTACTGTTTTCACTACTTGCTACTTGGTAGAGAAACTTTGCTATGAATATCTACCTGTTATATTCAGTATGAAAGAAATCTATTCATCTAAAAACAGAGACAAAACAACACATGCTTTTCCCTCAAACAAACAAATAAAAAACTCTTGTCGGTAGTAATCCATTACTGGCTGCAGCAAAACCACAGAAACACTTAAGCTGTAAACAAACTAACATAGCAGAGCTGCACAGCAAGCCAGTTTTTACTGGCAATATGGCACGACTTAAAGTGATAAAATAAAGCTGCTATAAATCCTGAAAACTTAGAAAGGCGAAATTTTCAAAAGTAAAAGGAATAATTAATTGTTTAATTTCCATTACAAAGTGACAAAAATTGAGTATTCAGCTTTCTTTTCTGTCCTAGGCCACAGGAAAAGAAAAAAAAAACCAAAACATTATTTGTTTTTATCAAAAGAAGTGCTTTTAGACAGAAATAGTACAAACCTGTCTCCCGGTTTTAGGGAGGCAAAAGATAATTACAGATTTAGAATTTGGCCTGGCACTGTATTTGCCTCATTAGTAACATAAGAATACCTATGTCCTCAATAATCACTAACAACTACCATTTATGCTCCTTCTTTGAGAGAGGACACTTGAAACAGCAAAGCATGTGTTACATATGCTACAGTTCCTCTTTGAATATTATCTCAGTGTCAATCACAAACACTTAAACAAAATTACTTTTCCCTGCAGTCCAGTTCCAGCATTATTTCCAAAAGCATGAGATTTGGCTGCAGAATTCAGTATTACTTTTGAAAGCATTTCCAGAGCGATTACACATGACAAAACTGTACAGCAACACTGCCACAAAAGCGATGGTACTTAAGAGTCCAGCATTTCCTGAAAGATAGCATAGCAAAGCCAGAGAGGTATAAATTTATATTTGCTTCTGGACAGATCACATGCCATGATCAACCTCAAACACTTAGAACAGCTTTTATTTCCAAGAAAGGTTACCCTACAGTTACTTCAGCATGTCTTGTTCCTCAAAAGTAAAACAACTTCACCTTCAAAGAGAGGAAAATTGTCTGTATCTCTGGGATTAACCTACAATAACTTCAAATTAGGTATAAAGAAGCTTAGATACAATTACTGAAGTCAAAGAAATCGTAACTTTCTTATACACTGTGTCAGTTACAAAGGTGTTCTATACTACCTGTATCTGACAATTTACCACAAAAAACTGCACACAACTTTGCAGTGTTATGCAAGGCTAGACAGTAATGAGATGGATATTGAAAATTAAGTATCAAAGCTCAGACTTTAGGTTCAAATTGTCTCACAGAAGCATACTGTTGTCCCAATATCATTCAAAAGCAGCAAAACTAAGGAGGGATTACCTAAATTTTCAAGAGTTCTCAGCCAGTGGGGATAGAAGGGACTTCTAGTGAAGGGATTTCTAGTGAAATATTAAAAATGATGGCTTAATTGTTTCAATATGGTCTCAGACATGCTTTTCTTACAAAAATCCTACTCCACTATTCTGGTAGAGGAAAGATAAAAAAAAAGGTGGATAGAGAGACCACTCACCTATCTTAGTGTATCACAAAGTATTTCCAGCCTATATTCTCACTCTACTGAGTCCTTAAAAGATAAATATTTGCACTCTATTTGTCTTGTCATCTAAAATAATCTCATTTATTACTTAGTAGGAGTATACACACATATCATCTTTCAAACATTATCTGTTGCAGTGCTGTGACTTTTGGGAGGTGGAGAGGGAAAAAAAAAAAGGAGAGAAGATATGGAAGGTATTAGGAAACAGGATCACAACATCCTGCTGTCGTCTGGGGGAAGAAACATCTCTCAGACCTGCAAGTCCTACTGGAACAAGGAGATATCAAAACAACCGTGTCTTGCCTTCAACGTACAAGTGCTTTCCAAATTTTGATTCTGGCAGTGACTGACAGGGCTGGGAGGGGCAGGGTCCCAGGGAAGGCAGCGCTTCCCCCACGCAGGAACGCCCCCACTGCCCGGGATTTCCTCGGGCACAGGAGCACCGCTCCCGCTCCAGCCCGGCAGCCTTTGCACGTACAAAACAGGGGCTTGTAGGGCTACTTTTCATCCAGCACTGAGGCTCCCCTGCCTTCCCCTACGGGCACCGAGCTGCGAGCGAGGAGCCGCGCGGGTCTGCAAGCGCCGCCCTCCGCGCCCAGCCCCTCCGCCGCTCCCGGGCCGGGAGGCTCCATCAGGACACGGCCCCGCCAGGCCGCCGCGGGCCCCAGCCCAGCGCGCCGCGCTCCACCCCGCCGTGCCCGGAGGAGGAAGAAGCTCCCCCGCGTACTCACGGCCCCCCGCCAGCCCTCGCTCCGCTCCGCGCTCCGCTGGCAGCTCCCGCTGTCGCCACGCGGCCCCTTCCCCCTTCCGGCCGCGCTGCTGCTGCCGGGACTTGAGTCCGGGGCGGGCCGGGCAGTGCCCGCCGAGCTCAGCGAGGCTCCCGCCGGCAGCTGCGGGGCCCGGGACGCTGCTGCCGCCCCGGGCGGGCGGCTGGGGCGGCACCATGAAGAGGAGAGCAGGGAGCGGGAGAAGAGCTGAAGGTACCTTCCGTTTGCTTCCCCGCTCCCCGCAGCCCCGCGCAGCCGTGCCCGCGGCCAAGCCCTGTGCCCGCCGCCGGAGGGGCTGCTGGGGGCACAGCCGCCGGGCTCCGCCAGCTCCAGCGCCGGGAGCCCCGAGCGGGGGCACAGCGAGGCCGCCGTGAAGTTCGCTGTGAGCAGGAAGCGGCCCGGCGCCGAGCTCCGTGCGGGGTCACACAGCCCGGGGCGCGGGCCCGTGCGCTCGGCACCGCCCCGGGGCCGCCCGGGGGGACGCGGCCGGCGGCGGGGGCTGCCCGGGCAGGGCATCCTGCATCCCCCTCTGCCTGGAAAGAGGGGGCACCTAGGACAGCTTCAGCGGTAGCTAGTGGTAAAGGCTCGTGCCATCCGGGCAAGGTATTTGAATTTTAAGGAGAGTTCTGTGGTTTGTGCAAAAGAAAAAAAATGTACAAGTTTGGTTTTGTCAAAACGTTCACAGTGAGGTGATGCACTATGTAACCGCGCTTTTATGTTTAAATTTGAAAGTACTCTACACCAAGCCTGACCTAAATAAACATTTTTAAGTCTCGTCTACCACCCGAGCATTATAATGTTTGTTTTCTCGTTCATATATTTAGACGCAATGCTGTTACTTGCTTACATTGAAGATGGTATTACGCTGTTTGTGAAAGCAAACAGCAGTGCTGAATGTTTTGCTGTTTCACGTGCCTTTGAAGGGCTTGTTTTACCACACTGTACAATATTTGCAACAATGTACAAAGGTTGTTGTACCTTTCCTGATTTTGTTTACAAAACAGTAGTACTGAGAAACAGTAAGTGACTGAAAGCACAATGCTGGTATTAGTGATGTTAATGAAAGGAAGGTTAATTCAATTATAAATTTAGAAAGAGCTTTCAAAAATGGTAATCGCATACACCTGAACAGAGACTGTGCTGGCTTTGGTATTGCTATTAATTTACTATTCAGCATTAAATGTTATTTCATTTTAGGGGCAGGGAACAGGTCTGATCTAACTTTGCAAGTATTTTAATATAAAACTTTAGAGCCTGTTCGCAGTAGTAAGATTCCTAACAACTCTTTAAGGAGTACCTGATCATTTTGTAATTAGTCTTTCTGCCAAGTTGCTCAAGGACAGCAACTTCAGGGTTACATTTGTATTCTACCCTTTCCATAGATGTCAAAACATATGCAGATGTCCCATCCAATCTAATGTAAATATGTTGCAGAAAAAACCTCACCCCATACTTATTTTAGCCTGTACATTTGTGCTGCCCATCTGAGGGCCTCTGTCTTTTTGATGGATCTCAAATGTATTTGGGAATGGTTTGCATTAGGAGAATAATTGCCTCTGATATGATAAGGATAAAGATTCAAGGATATGTGGAAGGAGTAAGAGGATGGTGCTGTGAACTACACTGGCAAAGGTTGTATGAGGACAAGGCACCTGAAGAGGTGTCAGGAACAATGTATAATAAAAACTCTATGCTAGAGTGAAAGAGTCCTGCCATGGACATGTGTAGATGTTACAGGTGCATAAACAAGAGAAGGATGAAAATTAACAAGATTCTTACAGAGAATTTAGAGGTGCCAATACTTATAGGATGCCTTAGGGGGACGTTGTAAGTTGGGTACTACTTGAGAGGAGCTTTGAATATACTGAAGGTGAAACAAAATGAACATCTAGAACATCTTAGAATAAAGGCTGCCAAAGGGGAAAGCAGCAATGGGAAGAGGGGGTTGTGTGTACAGGAAGGAATGTATGCTTTTTTTTCATGGGATTTTATTGTAATAGTTCTGCCAAGACTTCCATTTAGGTACTGATTAAAATATTTTGTAGCAAACCAAATATTAGTGAGGTTAACCCAACCTCTTCTCAGAGTAAGATTTATGAGGCCTACTGATGAGAGGGAAGTGGTTGGATAGGGAAGCTGGTTTGGATTATGGATCTCCTGCCAATGTCTCTTGTTTTCTAGAATTAAATCTCAAATAAAAGTTCTTGTTTTGCTATAATTGTGTACAGTTAAATGCTGTCTATCAGAATCCCAGTGATTGGCTTTTGCTAATTATGCAGTATGTTTCTTATATATGATAAGCTGTTCTCTCTCTCAAATTTTCATGTGTATAGCAAGTTTTGGTTTATGTTGTTATAGAAGAACGTTTCTGTTCCAAGTACATGTGGTCGAAGTCCTTTAGAGTGCAGTGCTGTCATACAACAATTTCCTTCCAAAATACAACTTTGCAGATCACTCAATTGGGTTAAGATTAAATGTGTGGCAGAAATGAAATTGTTTATGCTAGTGTTTGGTGTTCCAAGCCCAAGGGGAGGAGGATGTAAATTCGTTCTTGGGAAGAGGGTCTGAAAAAACTTGGAAACCATAGCCAGGAGTTAATTACTCATCTGTCCTAAACACCATGTTGGGGATGCAAATGTCCTGTATAATATTTCTCTGAGTCTTAAGTAGACAGCGAAACACAATTACTCTGAAGTTTCTAAAGACACCTTTAGAGCTGTTGCATGCCATCCACTTCTCTGGTCTTACCTACAGCAAGAATTACTACTGTGCATAAAACCAGAGCTGTTAGAATAGATGTTGTTCATTAGCTGGAAAGGCATTTTTATGAAATAGTCCATTGGAGTTTGTTCATGGTTGTTTGTTTTGACTTAAATTCAGCTTTAATTAACAGTTTATAATTGTTTTTATTCTTTTTTTGTATACACTGTTAGTCAGAGTTGGTCACT